ATAATATGCTGCCTTCGTTATTATTAATAGCTTCTAGAACGTCACCGGCTACGCACGCTCTTCTCTCCATAGTCCTCCAATGGGGTCCACCTTTTGCACCATGGCGTCACTCAACCTTTTTTTTTTTTCTTTCATAGTGTTGTGAGTTTTCTAGACATTGTGCATATGGAAACATTCTCACTTTCCCTGATAAAAAACAAGAGTTTTACTGTTGAACATCTTTGATTATTTCATCAAATGTTTAAATTTTCCTCTTTGTAAATTTCATTATCAAAAATGTTCCAATGCCATCCATCATTCCAGGTTTTAGTAATGTTTCGGACTGTTCTGATTCCAGTTTTATTTTCAGCTAAGGCATTTAATTTGATCAGACAGAGCAATCATTTCTTATCTGAAGATGCGTGACGTGACGTCTAGATCACAAACACAGGATGTGTCTCATTAACATAATTTATGACGACAAGAGAAAAAAATCATGGCAGAAAGCCATAGTGTACAAAATACATCACTGTAATAGGAAATAATTGGGTTAATTATGTTTACAGCTCACTTTAAATTGCCCCGAGGTGTGCAAATGAATGCGTGTGGTTGTTTGTCTCTGTGTGGCCCTGTGACTGACTGGTGGCCTATCCAGGCTGTACAACGTTTCTCGCCCATCAGTTACACTTTAATTCAATATCTTGCAATAACAGACATAATCCAAAAAGCATTTTTTATTTTTCCATCTTGACATAATCTGCTTGAAACAAGGAACTCACAATAAAGACAACAATCAGTGTACAAAGTGAAATACAGACCAATGCAGACACAATCTCAAAAATGCTACATGATGTCTCTTACAGACAGAATTTTTACAAAGGTTAAATGGATCTGGAACAGCATACCCAATCATATCAGTGGCCTGATGCAATTTGACCTTATAAATGGCTATATGTTACTCGTGTTTCTCATTCCCATCACTAACTTTCTCAGCCTGTTGTCGCCCCAGTTCAAACTTTTTCCAAGCGTATTCCTCACATCAAATTCTAAATGATGTTATGTTTGTTTGCTTTTTTATCGTAATAGGTCTCACTTTCAACATTTGAGTCACTGGATTCAGTTTTTTTTAACATTCTGGAGAGTATTTGAACTGTTTTGGAAATAGGGTTTTCAGTAATTCAAAGGGTGACATTCGCCACAGTTTCGCACATGTATCTGCCAGCTTAACTGCACATTCCCACATAAAGGGAACAAAGTTTACTACGATGACGCAGAGTAAAACAACATGTGATTAAGATCTGCTGAAAATAGAGCAAAGAAACTTCACCAGCTTCATGTAAGAACTTCCTGTGTGTGATAACGGAGCTGCACGGTGGCAACAGGCAGCCGTGGTGAAGAGAAAGTTAGCAGTCGTGACCAGCATCCTACGTCTATTTCAGTGTTGAGGGTGGAAAAACTATCAACGGCTCAGGTGGGCAGCACAACATTTGTAAACGCTGTCAGCTTTGAATATGCAGAAATGTCTGCAACCAAGTGGGGATTCACATTTAGTGTCTCATGAATATGCACGACCATGTGCCCGTATGTTAAAACCCACGGTTATCATTACGGGCATCGCTGTCAACGACCTCCACCCGTGCTTCCCTTTCTGAGAAATTGGGCAGGAAGATTGTGATTATCAACGGTGTGTAAGGTCGACACATGAAAACGTTTTTCTTTTTGCGATAGAAAAGCTACAGCTAATATAATGCTTCTTCTAAAGCCTTTGTCATTTCATTATTTTCAACCAATTTGAAAATTGGTTGAATTTTCAAACTTGGCTCTTGAGTCAAGAGCCAAGTTTAGATCTATAGGCGATGACAAGAGACATGCGTGTCATGATAAAGCGTGTGTTTTCTGTGTGTGTGTGCATAACAGTTTAGTTTCTGATCCTACCCACAATTTTCACACCTCACATAAAAGCGTTCCAGCAGACATAAGCTAAAACCCCCCTCTGACTTCCTGAATCAGACTCAGGTCAAAAGAGGTGAGGATAATCCATTTTGACCTACAACTAAACACAGAGTCTCATCAATCCTTGTTAAAGAAATGTTGGAAACGTTACCGCTAACATTTCCAAGAAAAATCCAGATAAGACCTTGACCACCCCAAATGGCCTGCAGGGAAATACTTCTAAAAGGCAAATAAATATGGTTTGGATGTCTCTGGGATAAGGGCAGAATGGCCACAATGGGTATTTCCGCGACTACATATAGCTCCCACACACACATATAAAGGAGCTCACGGTTTAATACACCACATACATTATATATGAGATAGTATGAGGAGAGAGGGGGGGGGCAATGACCTGATTCTCCTCCAGAACTGCTGACCCACGCAGTAACCCCTGTACACACAATGTGAGGCAAATCCTCATGTAATGACTCCAAACGCACATCCCCTTTGCTGAGTGGGCACCTACCGCAGCCAAGAGCTCTAAACACAGTCTTTTCATGACGGCCAGGAATCCATTACTAAAGCCCAGCAGCAGCTGGACCGAGTCCAGATTCTGTGCCAAACATCACCAGTTCGACTCAGACTATTAGCTACCCCTCATTTGCAAATGGAAAACGGGCAACGTTGCTATCGGAGGGGTATTTAAAGCGTCCGCGTAGACGAAAACTCTCCCCGAAGTCCGACAGAAACTTCAACGTGGAAACGTCGAAGTGGGTCACGGCGGTGCCGTAACTTTACTGCAGCCGAATGGCGTCTAAATGTCAGTGCAACTCAGTGGTAAACCAACGGAGAGTCGGCACAAAAGCCCAATGGCGCCGCTTAGTGGGGCTACCGCAGACCTCACGTTAACGCCCGGTGGGTTCACTCATTAATTACACCTGTCGTCAATTTAAAGTTCACAAGGTTAACACATTGTCTTACCGCTGTTTCGAGGCCTTTTCCAGCGGAGGCGTCAACGAAAACAGGCCCAAGGGACGTCCGAAACTATGAAAAACTTTAACTAGAACTTTAAATAGATCTTTAACTATAATAAATAGGCTTTTGTCTTTGGTTGGAAAAAGAGGCGAAGGCTAGCATCTAACGTGACGTGCTACGCACGAGCGCCGGCAGGTGTCAGTGACGTCAGGGGTAATGAGACGGCTTTGTCCAGATTTGCAATAAACGTCAACATTGCCGTAAACTGTTGTCTTATGCTTACATAAAAAAAAAGACAGCACGATAAAATAGGAACCTCTGTCATGTAAGAGTTTTATTTTGAATAAAAATACAAAATCTCACTTGCACAGACTGTTTATGATTTTAAAAAGAGGCCCAGTACCTTCCTTTTTATTATAGCCTTTTATTTGGCATGGGGAAACATATTGTTTTCCCAGGGTAGTTTCAGAATGGTTTTAAGAAGGTGGTCATTTGAGTTTTGATAGTGTGTGTGTGTGTGTGTGTGTGTGTGTGTGTGTGTGTGTGTGTGTGTGTGTGTGTGTGTGAGAGAGAGAGAGAGAGTGAGTGAGTGCATGAGAGGAGGTTATGACTGGGTATGTGTTTAAATATTTCTTAGGTCAATAATTAAATAGGTGTTTTTAAAGTACTTTTAAACGTGCTTTTATGTAAAGCAACTTGTGTTACAAATTGTATATATGAAATGAAATTTATATGAAAAAAAATGTTTTTCATATAAATGTAGCAATATAAAACTCTTATTTAAGTAAAAGTTAAAAAATATCTCACCATGACTGGGGTTCTCTCACATTTGAGGATGCACCTTTTTCCACTTTGCTGTCTTTTTTTTCTCTTAGTGTACATGTTGCATCATAATGATAATCATCAACTCCGGTTTCTCTTTGTGAGCAGGCATCCCATGCTCAGAAAGCATTTTTTTCTTTCTTTCCTGTTAAAGTGTTACTTTCTTGTGCATGCTTCGGAGACTGGATCAATATTAAGTTTCTGTGTGATCTGCTTGTATCCTGAACAAACATTTTCTTCGAACTGGCTCTGTATGAATTAGACAAAGTGGAATTATGATTGCATTATAATGCCTTGAAATTCCCATGCCAAGGCTTTCTTTATAAGTTATTTGTTCCTCTTGGTTCTTTGCCCTGGAGATTAGTCTTGCCAAAGGAAAGGTGACAAGGTTTATAACAAGGAGAGAACAAGTATTGTCTGTAAAAATTGCAATGTTAAAATAAAATACATTTTTGCATATATGCTTCTTTACTTTATAAGTGAACATCTTAAAAAGGTTGTTTGAGTAAATTAATAGTTTCTTTCTGAATTGTGCCAGGTTGGTTCTTTTATTTAATGTATTTATTTTTTTAGATGAACTTTGTATTTTTCTTTTGTAGAAGTCAGACAGAAAGTAAATCAAACCAAATCCATTCACCCAAATTAATGTTAGAATTGCACATTTGTTAAACTGAGTTTAACTCATTAAATAAAATTATTTAAGCAGGACTGCTGTTTAATCACTTATTTATTTTGTTGTTGCCTTGAGATGGCACCTTGAGCGTAAATGCTCAGGGTGACGCTTATATTTATTCATATTCTTCATTTCAGTTAAGTCAAAACAAAACAAAGTTTGGCGATAAGGTTATTTTCCATATGAAGATAATGCAGCTTGCCACAAACCTATGTAGGTCGAGCATATCAGTTCAAGTGACACGGCTAACAAACGGTCCAGATCTGGATTAATGGCAGCAGTGTCCATAACTGATGCATTTACATTTGGAAAAAAAAGAAAGAAAAAAGCAGTCAATAAAAGCTGGACTTTTTTTTATTTGGAGGTTGTTGATACAGTGTGGTAATGTCTATAAAATGTTTGATTAAAAACACTTCAATCCTTTTTGTTTTAGAATTGGGAAGTTCTCAGTCATTGAAAGGCGTGAACAAAATGCAGTTTGTGTGAAAAAAAAAATTCAAAGCATCATCTATAAAAACGAAGGCATGCTTTGGATTGTATGGAGAAACTGTTTTCAAGTTGTTCTTTCTTCATCTGTACCCTTGAGCAAACTCGTGACAATGTGACAAGACTTCTCAGAGGTTTAAAAACTTGTGATTTACCCTTAGTGTCCATAGTGCTTTACCCTTAGTGTCTACAGTGCTTTTCTTTTTGCAAAACCACCCCTGGAACTTAAACTGAGAATTGTGATCATATCTACAATCTCTTAGAATCTGGACCTCAATGGACGTCATTAAAATGATTTAATCTACAAAAAAAATCTGGTCATGATTTTAAAAAAACAAAACAAATCAAGCCAGTTCAACACCAGTCACATCCAGGTTTCACGAGAACAACCAAATTAGTTTATTATAATTTAACAGACTTTCATAATTTAACATTTAAAATCACATAAGTTTGAAAATACATGGAACTCTAGATTTTTTTTCCTTTAAAAAAAAAATCATTGTAGTCATTAGAAGACGTAATGAGCCATAAAGATGTGTTGACAAAGTAAACGTGCAGTTAAAGTGAATCACAGTGGCACAGAAGTGAAATTAATACAAAACTTTTTTTCTTTTCCTATAAAACAAAGTCGACAACTCGAAGTAACACTGAAAATACAAACAATTCACCTTTCGTTTAAGTCTTGCCCTCAGTCACGTGCGCGTACCTCGGCCTGTGCTGCTGAAGGAATGCCATCCTACTGGTTGGACACAACGCTTGAACACACACACACTGCTGGAGGAACTGTTCCGACGGGTACACAATCATCCCCGCCGAGAACATTCCCGCCCTCTGATCGAATCCAACTGGCACATGAGGCTCAGCGTGTCGCCTGGAGAGCTGCCGCGGGGCTCCAGTTCATCACAAAGCGACGCGCTCCGATCCCTTTTTCAAAGGCAGATGATCACAAAGGCATCCGGTAGGGCTGAGAAACGGCTGAGGGCGTCTCCTTGATCACGTTCAGCCGTGTTCCAGGTGTCGGCCCGTGTTGCTTCCGTGACGACGTGCAACAGGTCGACAGCTTTTAAACGCAAACGGTTGGTTTTTTTAAACTCCTCCGGGCGTTTTTCCGAGCGCCGGTACCTTCTGTTGAGTGGAGGATTCTTCTCCAAGAAGGTACTTGTTGGTTTTCGGCAGAGCGATCCCAGTGCAGTCACGTTTTTCGGTACCTTTTTGAGAATAAAAGGCCCATTTTCCAGGAACATTCAGAGGAGCCCGGTCCGAGTTTCGGACCCAGTCTGTGCAGAACGTCTGACTGCCTACTTCGTGAACCGTCCGAGGCTGGCCGTTTTGAAGAGCGTTTTTTGCTGAGCTTTGCGGTGCTGCCGCAGGACAAAGTCAAAGTTCGCCGTGGTGGACATGGCGTAGAAGACGTTGGCCTTGTCCGGTATGAGCAGGTCTGAAAACAGGAAATACAGGGTGGACCGTTTAAAGAATATTTTTTCTTTCAAGTTTAAAAAGCTTAAATTTGGCACACTCAAGTCGGTTCCAACCTCTTTCCGGAGAGATGACCTGTGTCAGGGTGAAATCTTTCGTGCTCATGTGTTCAAGGTGATGCTTCTCCAAAGCCCTCTGGATCACTTGAGTAGTTTTGTCTTGGCTGGTCAGCTATGGAAGACAAAGAATGACAAGGGGCTGTTTATGTCACCTGAAAGGAGCAGGAGGTTTCGCTTGAGGGAGTCTAAATGCGTTTCTCTGAGCCGCATAGCTGCGGATCGTAACGCCAACTCACCAGAATGCTTTTGTACATGTTGCCGTTGTTGTGGCCCAAGTCCACGCTGACCCTCACGATGCAGGAGTCGGCCACCTGCCGGTTATACACGGGCAGGGAGGTCATGGAGGCCGAGCGTTTGTGCTGGGAGGCCACGGGCGGCTTTAGCTTGGCGCCAGCGTCCGACGATGGCGTGGAGCACAGGTCCGCGGCGGAGTCCGAGAAAGAGCCGGAAGGGGTAGGGGAATCCGAGGAGGAGGCCGTGGAGGAGCAGGGGGAGGAGAAGGAGGACGAGGAGGAGGAGGAGAATGCCTCGGACACGTTGTTGCAAGAGCTGTGGAAGGACTGCAATCGAGAGAGAGGAACAAAACCAGGAGAGTTACAGGATCGTCTTCAGATTGACTTTTTTCTAAGCCATTACGAAACAGAGCTGTGGACCATTAAACCCTCTCTCCAACCCAGTTAGGGTCACGCTCAATTCAAATTCCTCTCAAGGAGCTCGACACGGTTTCAGTGGTGCTCTGAAGAGGTTTTGTGTCTTGCGAGGGGAGGTTACGCAACTCTCCCGATTTACGTCTCCAGTTTGACTGTGAATCGGGGACAAAGAGCATTACTGTGACCACACAGTGGCCATTTTGTCGACGGATCTTTGAACAAAGAGCCGAACTGTCGGCACAACTGAAAAGTGGATGGACAAAAAAGAGATGAGACAATAGGGGTGATGCAAGTGGGCCCGCGTACACTGACCCAGTCACATCTTTTGTCGCCATCCATTTCCCATTATTTGAAGGGTCCCATTGCCCTTTACATTTTGTTTACCGAGGGCTGTGGTTGACATATCCCCGTTTAGTTTTCTTTTAAAAATAGGAGTTCAGTCGAGCTGTTCTCTCATAGATCTAATTTGGAAACCAGTATTTGAATTTAAACTCTGAAATATAAAAATGCCCACAGTAAGACCCTAAAACCAGACAAATTTAAGAAGATGTGAAGAGATAGAGACAGGCCATAGGACCACACCCAACTATATTTTTCTTATTTTTATTATCTTTTCCTCCTTTTGAATTCTAACCGATGTGTGACCAGTGAATTTCTCCACTGTGAGATCAATAAAGCTCTTATCTTATCTTATCTTATATCGTCTATATCGAGTAGCCCCATGATTCTGATCCATGCCTCTATCCCCCCAAATCTATCAGGACACAGGCTCTAGGCCCAGCTGGTTACCTGCATCCTGATGGAACAGTTTGGGGAAGAGAGATCCTCCATCTCGGATCCACTGGACCCAGAGGACGAGACGCTGATCTGGTCGGCAGGGAGTTTCTTAGAACCGTCGCCTATTGTCAGCAGACTGGACAGAGAGAGACAGTTCTTTGAGAAGACCGCATTTAGCCAAATTATGCAAAAATAACACAAATACATGTTTTATTATAAGATGGTTTCTGATGGAGTTTCACTGAACACAACAAAGCATGGTCTAAACATGCAGTTTATTTTTCACTGCAAGCTACAAAAAAAAAACACAAAGCCAACAGTTTCCTTCTGTTTTGACAACACTAAAGAGGCCTATGTGCTTAGTCAAATGTGCACGTTTGAATACGCAAAGTGGACCATGCAGCGTTACACTCACGAAGAGAGTTTCTTTGAGAGTGTGCGGTGGCTCCATGCTGGAGGGGAACACAAGTCCACCGGAGGCTCCAGCTGTTTGGACAGTTCATAGCTGTGAAAAATAAAACACATCGATCTGTTAGTCTACGTGAGACAATGTGCAGTTGTCAGGACTAAAAAAGACTAAATGAAAAACAATGGAACTCTTTCTAAGGCTCACCTGTGTTGATCAGTGAGCAGCTTGTGTCTCTGCAGCCAGGTAGCGATTCTGGGGTGATGAGGGAGGCTGTACTGTGAACAGGAAGCTTGCAACAGACGGATCTGTGACAAAACATCAAATTCCTGTGGAGAGATACAATTTTTGACGCATTAAAAATCAAATAAATAAAAAAAACACAAATAAGCCAATATGCCTGCTGCTATTTACATAGCTACACAGTCTTCTAAGAAATTATAGATGATGCACAGCACAGAAGTAGTACAGCTACAGGTAAAGGGTATCTGTTTTTGTGTACATGTTTAAAGACACTTCATGAGACACGTCTACCTTTTAAACAGAGGAATGTGTTTAAGCAATGTGTCCTACCTTCTGTTTACTTTGGCAACGCAAATCAATGCTACACACCTAGCTAACTTAACACAACACCTTTAAACTCTATGACTACTCTGAAAAGAAAAGGTCAAAGAAAGGGGAACAAAAATAAAGATGTAAAAAATAAAAAGCTGACTACTTACCCTCCTCCTTTTCTCAAAGTTTATGAATCCTCCCTGTTGATAGAATGGGTTCATACTTTAATGTAATGCATACATAAATCATTAATAGAAAAGGCCAAAAACATTACAAAGTACAACACAAAAGAAAAAACTAAAGGAGTTGCCCACTTAAAAGTAGTTAGAAGTAAGAAAAATGCTAACATTATGAATTTGCCGACAACAGAGGTAACTAAGAATTGTGTATATCTTTTGCTTATGACTGATGACCATCTCTTACAGTGGTAATTCCAATCTATTTTGTCTGATTTCTAGCTCTAGTATTTTATTTTATTTTTTCAATATAGATTATCATGGCAGGAAAGGGGGCAGAAAGGTGGGGGAAATAACATTCTATGCATATAAACTACACATGGGAGAAACACCATCAAATATATTTAATTTGAACTGTGATGTACCTCAACGGTGTCCGGCAGAGCGGTGTCCAGCATGGTGAGGACGGTGAGATAGGTGCCCAGGTACGGGACGACTCCACTGGAGGTGCTCTGCAAAACACACGGCACGTCGATACACGCTCACGGGTCTGGGCAGGCGTTTTTCACACTGTAATCATTCGTCATTAAATTCAATCATTGGCCTCCACGCCCCACCCGGACCCCACCCCCTATTTATTCCCGTCCATTATGCTGCCTGGGCTGAGCTCGTCTACATTGTCCGCACTAAGCAGAAGTCAGTGGCTTCAAATTTCAGCCCCGGAGAATGTGCATGAGACTCATAAAAAGAGCCCGGTCTAGTCTATTATTACTGTCCTGTAATCCCGGTGACCTGAAGCCATTTGAAACCCGCTGAGCACCGAGTGAGACTAAAGATAGGGCTCGGCACAGCGGCCCTCAAAGGTGGATAATATATAAAGTAGTCTCAACGCATCATGTGCCTTCACATGAAACCCGACAGCCAGATAAAAAAAAAAATCCCGTTTTGCCACATTCCTATTCCGGGTTCAGTTTGAACTCAGTTATATGTTTCGATCCTACTGACATGTGCCTTTAAAAACATTTCATCTCTTCTTATAGGGCTTACCAACTGTCTGGGGAGTCGACACTTCTTGAATATCTTTGGAGAAATGTTACCCATCGTCACTTGGCCTCCATCCTGCGGAAGACATAGAGCTATATTCAGTTAAAGCCTCCAGGCTTATACGTCGACACCTTACCCCTAACCCTAACCTATGAACAACTGGTTGAACAGAAAAAAAAAAAGGTGACTTTACCATTAGCAATCTGAGTACAAGGTATTTTTAACTGGGGTGTTTTGTCAGTGAGTCAGCTTTCAAACAGAAAAAACACTTTTAAACCCATTGCAAACATTCCTGGGCCACGGCTGCATCGGAATGAAAGCGTTTTCGTGGATGAAAAGCATTCTTCTTAAAAGCCAGGGTGTCTGCTCAGTGGCGACGTGCGATACCGAAGCGGCTCACGCAAGTTGTTGTAAACAGAAAGTGCTGATGACTTCGGAGTTCTTTCACAACAACATGACATCAGACACGGCCAAAGCCACTGCCTGAAGACAACTACGCGCAAACAGGGAACACGGTGTGCTCGAATGCTGGAGGTCTCTCTTGTTTGCCTTTAACACATATTTCACTAAATATTAACCAGATAGGAAGTCTCTTTTAATGAGTAAGAGAAAAAAATATCATGGGCAAGAGGAAAATCATTTTCTAGCTAATATATTATCGAGGACTTAGTCTTTTTTTCTTTATAAGCCCATTTAGAAATAAAAAAAAAATCTCTAAATGAAAGATTCATCCATTCATCTGCATCAGCCTTGTTCACATTATCCATTTAGGATATATGTGTGATTCTTTAGAAGTTATGAGAATAGTTTATGGGTTTCAATACATTTTCCAGTGCTGACTGGGCTTTGGTCTTATCTTCTGAAAGCAGTTTATGGCATATGATTCATCTGCTTGTTTGCTCAAACCCAACTCTCCAGGAACCATAATTGTTGGCTGTCACACCAAAAATCCGGGTGTGGCTTAAAGAGACTTGCCCCAAAAAAAGAAATGTCAGCCAACAAACACATAGCAAGAATTCAAGAAGACTAACCACCTTGTCCTCCAACTATTTGAGAAGACTTTTGTTCCTATTAAAATCAATGTTGGAAAACGGTTGTCATTCTTCACAACCTATAACAAATTATACAGAATTTCTCACAAATGGGTCATTTTCAGATCCTTTGGGGGAAATCATGGGCTCAAAACAACATGCCTGCGAGAATAGAGACAAAAAAACAAAAACTCAAATTAAAAATAGGGTGGTTTCTTTCTCACCTCCACCAGGAGCTCTTTGTGAGTTAGAACACAGTTCTCATCAGGTAAAGTCTCCAAGAGGTTATCGAATGTGACCATGCTGTCCCTTCAGGAAAGAAAAAAAAAAAAAAGAAGAAAACATTTTTAAAGTGCATACACAGCCTTTTAATCAAACACTATTTAGTTTAATAATTCAATTATGCGCGATCCTCTCCGTTAAAGATTTACACGTTACGACTTTAAAGCCGTTTACTAAGTTCCAAGAGGCCAAAGTTATGTCACACCCTCAACCCGAATATGGGTCATCACCCAAAAGTCCGACATCTGCTGACTTGCTCCACCAAACTGCACGGGATGAGGGTTAAATATTCCCGTTTAATGGCAGTTTATGTAAAGGAGCATTAAAAAAAAACCGCAGTGAAAAGAGAGTGGCCTTTGAGACGACAGCAATTTAACCCCACACACACACCTGCAAACAGCAGCCCAGGTCTTCCTCAGTCTGTAAACAGCATTAGACTGCAGGGCCGACAAGATGGCCTTCAGGGAGGAGAAGTTCTTCAGCCGACGGCAATCCTGCAAAAGGACACGTTCATTCTCCAACATGTCCGCCGGCAATATATAAATATAGAAATGCCCCACAATTCCACATATCGCGTCCCGTTTTGAGCATTTCGAGACCGACCTGTGCCACTTTAATCCACTTCTCGATGATGCGAGCCCTCTGCACCGGCGTGCTGGCGGGCAGCGGGCAGGAGGAGTGACCGGTGCCCTCGGGCCGGCAGAGCAGGGAGGCGATGACCTGGTTGGTGACGGCGTTGAACTGCGCGATGGTGGCCCGGATGGTGGGGGACAGGTTTTCCTTCTTGTCCCTCTGGGACCACACGCAGCCCAGACACTGGTAGGGCATCACTTTGACGAACAGAGCCTGAAATACGCAAACGAAGCCGACTGATCAACATTTAACTAATCATAGATTAATAAATAAAAAGGAGAGTGAGAAGTGACCACTGACGTACCGAGTCCGTCCGGGTCAGTTGCTCAGCAATTGCCGCAGCAGAGAAGTCCATGATGCCTCCTCTATCCGGAGAGCTCTCGCATCCAGAGTCTTCATCACCAGAGCCCCCCTCTTCTTGCTCGAAGTTTTGGGTAGCAGAGTTCCCTTTTGAAGCCGCTTCTGAAATTGGGAGGGAAAAAGAAGAAAAGTTTAGCCTTATTATCTGTGGAAAAACAGGCTCAATTCAATTCAATTTTATTTATATAGCGCCACATCACAACAGTTGTCTCACAGCGCTTTCCAAACAGAGCAGGTCAGACCCTACTCTGAAGTTAATTACAGAAACCCAACAATTCCCAACATGAGCAAGCACTAGGCGACACAGGCAAGGAAAAACTTCCTTTTAACAGGCAGAAACCTCGAGCAGAACCATGGCTCAGGGTGGGCGGCCATCTGCCTCGGCCGGTTGGGGGTGAGGGAAAGAGAGGGCAAGAGAGAGAGAGGGCGAGAGAATGACAGAGGGAGAAGAGAGAGGCAGCCAACACAGCAACACGTAGACTAGATGAAAAATGGCAATGATATTATGGTAGAAGAGGGGGTCACCTTCTTTCTGGAAGTTGTTGAGCAGCACCTCGGCCTGCCCGGCCAGCGAGCAGAAGTTGGGCTGGCTGTGCACGCCGTCGTGCACGGCGGAGCTGATCCTCAGGTGGTCCAGGAGCAGCCGGAGAGCCGGGTGCAGCGGAGGGTCCCGGAAGTCCTCGCTAAACTCATCCAGCCATGTCTGAACAAAGGCCAGCAGAGGGCTGGAAGGGCAGAAAGGGACTTGTTACTCTTCAACCATTAAACAAAAAAACAAACAAAAAAAACAAAACAGTTAAAGCCTGCTGAGTGAGGCTTGTTTAAGAATTATACACATACCTCCGATAGTATTCACTGTTGTCCAGGTCTGAGGAAGCATTGTCTCTGAAGGATAAAAAAATCAAATGTATATTTTTTTAAAAATCAAAGTCTAAATGCAAACAGCTTAATGTGTTTGTTTTGTTCTTTTAGGGTATGGTCATTTTTTAAAAATAACCATTTGCTAAGCCTAACCCTCAAATCTTCTCAACCACAGTCAAAAGGCTTTCTACCCACAACAGTAGCTGTTGAAAACCTCCGTCATAATGAACACCTGCTGGGTACTTATCACGACATCAAAGCGGACATGAGATGCTCGCTTCTATCAGGGCAAACATCGAGTCAAAAGGAAAAAAAAAAAAAATCCTTACACAACACGCGATACTACATGAACCACGAAACAAAGCAGTTTTCCAGGAATCGAGCTGATAAAAAAAAAAAAAAACACATCTCAAAATAATAATACTGTCAGACAATATTAGTTTTTCTTTTTTTGTTTGGTTGTTTTTTCTTCTTCTTTGGAGAAGATTGCTCTCGAGACAGGAGGAACTCCACTATACATCCATATTAATATCTTGTGATAAAAAATCTACAAAATATAAAATAGCATCTTCCTTTACTGTGTGTTGGCATTTCGGATCATTTGATTTGCTACATTTAGTGCAACACCTTCAATCTCCCCAAATCCAAACTGCTTTTTCTCAGATAAAAAGAAAAGATGAATAAATAAAAACATAAATACACCATCTTATCTGCTAAACAAGCTGTCAGGACACGATTAACCCAACCCAAACTTTACGTAAACAAAAACAACACATGTGGGTGTCTTTTTCCTGTTTCAAGCCCTTCCTTCATGAACTAACCTCTGGAAGAGCAGCTCCAGGAGCTGCGTGGTGTCGGTGAAGGTCCTGTAGGTGGACACGAAGATCTTGCTGTAGTCCTGCTCCTGGCTGCTGCCGTCCAGGAGGTGGTTGACCAGCAGGTCCAGGGTGGCGGCCTTCAGGCGCCGCACCTTGCAGGTCCGGTACTGGACGAAGGCCCCCCCGGGGCTGGTCCCGTCGGGGCCGGGGGAGGAGGGCACGGGCTCTCGGCGCAGGGTGACCCCGTACACGGTGCCGGCCTCCTTCTCCTCACCCCACTCCTGCACCGGGTTCTGACACCAACAGAGGGGCCAAAGATTAGGTTTCATACCAATCAACTCTTAAAATCCGTGCAGCCATGTGCTAGAGGGTAGATCAGGTTGTCGTATTGGGTTCAACAGCAGGCTCAGAGGCTGAGGCATGATTAAAAATAGCAAGACGCCATGGCCCGGCAGTCAGGTGAAGCTGAAAAAAAAACAAATCAACTGACACACCAGACCACTAAGACTCCCACTGATTCCTCACGAACCACAGCAGCTACATCATGTTTGCTTCTGCTTAATGACCGTCATTCCAAGTCTCCATTGATGGAAAAAACAGGTTAGTCTATGATGACAGTAGTCGCAGTAATAATAATGATAATAATAATAATACCATGCATCCCTTCATTTTAAATACAGTTTATAGGCAGATAAAAAGCAGATACAGTTACATTTCCAAGATGGAGTGCTAAAATTCCCTCCAACATACAAACCAGAACTTTCTAAGAGTTGTAAATGGTACGCCCCATTGTTCCTGAACACATCCCAGCAAGTCACAAGGTTTGCACGTTAAAAAAATGAAAATAACTAAATAACTAAAACCACGAAATATAGTAGCTGGGGACACTTCATCAGCAGCTGGAAAGATCTTGGTTTGACAAAAAAAAAAAAAAAAGGTTAGCCATGTGGTCAAATCCAAAGTGGGACCTCGTTTGATCTCAAGAGAGCTCTCCAGTCAGATTTAAAGCCCGTGCTCCTTCACAGCCGTCGACAGCACTTGGCCCGGCCGGGTTTTTAATGAAATATGAATAGTCGGCGGCATGTTCAGTCATAAAAAACCAGACCACAGCTGCATTGCTTAATGCCTGCTAATCGTATGCTAATATAGTCCAGCCAAATATCACCATCAACTGTAGAACAGGAGCAGCCAACAGAAAAAAATCTAATAAACTAACAAATCGGCAAGGTATTAGACAAAATCACAAATGATTTGTCTTTCTCTGAAATTCTGCCGTTGTTCCAATGAGAATTCACCTTTAACGCCACCTTTTTTTGAGGAATGCTCAGGTCATCTAAACTGCCTGACCCAGTTTCAAAGCCAGCTGTGACAGGCGGTGACCCCGGGGCATGGCGGCCGGCTCCAATCTCGCCAATCTATAAGAAGCTGCCTCAGACTGACAGCAGGTGCGTCCAATATGTCAGCCGGCGTGGAGGACTTATCACCAAAAAAAAAAAAAAAAAAAAACTAGATTACCAGGCAGAGAGGGTTCACATGACCAGATGTAAATGATTACTCAAATTTCACTCCGTCACAAAAAAAGGACTTTAAAGGTTATGTGCTTCCAGAGCAGTAACACACACACATTGTCTTTAAAGAAAAGACAAAAACTAAGTCAGAAGCATGCCCTGTGGAGGTAGCGGAATAAAGCACTGATGGGGCAGATGGAGAAATCCTCTGCAGGGTTCAGCTCTGAAGAAATGGGAGCAGACAGGAAGAAATTTGGGGAGCTGGAGTCTGAGATTGGGCCTCTCCTTCTCCATGCACAACGCACATTAAACCGGACTGACATTTTACAAGAATACCAAGTTGAATCTCCTGTTTTTCTTCCCTCAATATAAGCAAAGCGTGTTATTTCATGTGTTAAATGACCACTTCATAGATTTTGCAACACCCTGGGAAATGCTTCCAGTAGAAAACACCTATTTGAGATTTAACTAATTTGTCACAGAGTAAATCAAAAGCTGTCAACAAACTTTTTTCACATTATTCATTTACCAATTACCGTTTCTACATCCGATTGTTCTTTCAAACTCACCATGGTTAGCTCCCATTTTCCCATCTTGTCTGGTCGCTTTAAGGGGCGTTTCCCTCCATTTGGACGAGAACTGGACTCAAACGGAACTTTTCCTCCTTTTAGAAACAGTTGTAACACTTTATGGCTGCATTTTGGAATGCTTTTAAAAACTTCTTTTTTTTTCTTTTCAATTATCTGGCAGTGAAGTTTGCACTGGCGCGCGCGCGGAGCTCCTGGAGACAGCTGTAGGACGCACGGTTTTCCGCACAACCCGTGCGTAAAAGTGTCAGTTTGCTGCCCCTCTCTTCCTCCCCAGGCCGGGTGGAACCCCGCGTTGGAGACGGAAAGAGACGGGACCCAGATCTGATCCGACCGGTCTGCTGGGAGCTCCTCTCTGCGGCCGCTGGCTGACTGGGACCAGTCCCGGTTATATAGTGGGAGGCGGCTCCTATTCTGAGAGGAGGAGGAGTGTAAACGCCTGCGGGTCAACCTAAAGACAAGCTGAGCTCCAAATGTCTGAGAAACACTGTTGCCGTGTTCTTTCAGAGTACAGCTTTTTCTTTTTAAAGGAAGTATTTTTTCCCATAATGGATTATGATTCCTCTGACAATTCCTTGTTAGTTTTCCATTTCACACTGATCTCTTTTCACAATTTTCTGTCCCAAATCAACAGTCCAGGCCTGTTGATTTTGTTTAACCTCAAAGTTTTCATAGAACTGCATCAAGCTATGAATTATTAACGGGTGAAAATGTGTGCATTTAACTCAACCAGTGCTGAGTCAGCACATGTCAGAAAGCACTCTCAGAACATCCAGCCATCCATTATCCATCCATCCATCCATTATCGTGAATGCTTATTCCCTAATGGGGTCACTGGGAGAACTGGAGCCTATCCCAGCGGTCAATGGCCGAGAGGCAGCATACCCTGGACGGTCCACCAATCCATCATAGGGCGACACAGAGACACACAACCACACACACTCACTCCTAAGGGCAATTTGGAATGTCCGGTCAACCTAACCCAGAGAGAACCCACAGACACAGGAGAACATGCGGACTCCACACAGAAAGGTCCTGGTTCCCCCGGGGACTAGAACCCAGAACAGTCTCGCTGAAGGCGTTGATCCTACTAATCGTAATAATTATTTGCTAACCACCACACGACTCTCAGAAAAGGTATATTAGCATACCTTTAAGGGCCTCTAAAAGTACAAATATGTGCCACAGGGTCAAGTTATTAGCCATAAGTGTACATAAATCAAGAAACTACCACAGAAGACATGAATGTACACGTGTTGTGCCCCTATTTTTACCTAAATAAATTAATTGGATACTTTTCTGAGCAGCCATGTTGTTTCTCTCCAAAAATTCTTTGGTGAAAATACCAAAAATAACTGATTTACAGAAATAAAGTAGTGTTTTTATACAAAATAGGTTGTTACCAGGGCGGCAAAATTCAAACCTGACATCGAATCTGAATGAGTTGGACAAGCGGAGTACAAATGAGACCCCAAAATTATCTACAGAAGATGAATGGGATCTGAAGAAGAGCTCTGTGGTGTCCTCCAAGTAGCCCGGAGAACTATTCCAGAAGACTGCATGGAGAAATTAAAAGAAACGTTGTTTGAAAAGGCTCAGACTGCGTTACTAAGAAAAAGAACAAAAAGTCAGACCAAATTTTGACTTTGATTTTCGTTGGAATTGTACAAACCTTGTATCATCATAAAATACTGTAGATTTATCATGTTTGCACATATCATGAAACATATTCCTGGTAAATAAACAAAGTTATGATGGGCAATTTAAATTTTTTACACTGTCCTGTATACCCTTATTATATATACCCTCATGATAAACACTTAAAATCTGATAAAATATTGTTGGAGGTGCATTTAGGTCATTTATAATTATTAAGATTATATCGGCTTTGAATATCTCTGTTTCTCTTCTCTTTCTCCCCACTTGGCCCCACTACAAAACCCTTTAATTTCTCCCTAAAAACAGTCAATTCCAATTTCATAAGGCCGTGACACAGAAAGTCAGATGGAATGAGTGACTGTTTATGTTTTGACCTCTGTGCCAGCAGCTTTTCCCGGAACAACAAGCTCAGCTTTCCTATGAAAGCAGCCCACTCTTCCCCGATGTTTGTCCCTGCACTCTCCATCAACCGACGTATTGTTTTCCCCTCTTCCCTTTCAACACAAACAGCTACAAAAAACAATCACACGCTCCTCATTCGGGCCAGCGAATCACACCTAGTGACCTGCTATCCTCCGTTTGTACGCACGCATAATAGTCCGACCTGGAAATTACACAACTGACATTCGTGTGACACCCTTGTCTAAAATCACAGGACAGATCTAGCTGATATTCTGCTGGCAGGAGAATAACGTCACAGGTTTTGGGTGTGGTCCGCTAAATCCCCGCCATGGCGATTTGTGTTGCGCAACACAATGCCAGCTCACACAGACGTCCAACGTCTTAGCTCTGATAACGTGTGTCCAGTTGAAGGGTTGGATTGAGCAGAATGTAAATATTAAGTGACCACAGTGCATGTAAAGGCACTGTTTTTAAAATAAAATACAGCTAGGAACAGATATGGCATCCGGGAACAAAAGCCTCTGACTGATATAAATAAGACAGACCAGCTAACCAGAAACTCGTATATAGTATATTCTTGTACCCCAAAATTCAAACAGTGTGCTCTTTAAAGTTTGCGGTCGACCCAATAAGAGAAGGAACAAGTAAACCAGGAACCTGCTGGGAGGCAAGATTAGGAATAGCACGGGTTGGAAGTTCCTGGAAAGCTAACGTTGCCTTTGTCACCAACCAGTCCATATTTGTGTTTTTGCCATCGACTGGCAAGTAGAAAGTTATTCATTTTTACATTGCAGGTACAGTTTATGTAGTAGCTCCAGTCAGATCATCTCAAAGGCTCATCCTGCTGAATGTGCTGGAGCTCTGATCGGCTTCTTATCTCATTTGTGAAATTAGCATCGGGCTCATATGTGCTCATATTATTGCTTAAAAACAAGTATAAATGCCTTTATTCATTCTTTAAAATTTGCATGTTGAGAGGCAGCTGTATATTGTCATTTTATTATTTGTTAGGCCGACATTTTTACCGCTTGTTTTTTTTTAAATTTCACTTACTGAGTGGATGTGGAATATTTATTTTTGTTTTTATCCAGCAGGCTGAAGCAAAACGACTTTCAAATCTGTCAATACGCTTTCAATTAGAATAGACAACTTATATGATAAATGATGATAGTTTAAAAAAAAAAAGCAGTTTGAAAAGTCCCCTTTAATGTGTTAATTCAGGTTAATTCATCTTAATCCAATTATAAATAGTAGTTTTACTCACAAAACTATAAATGGATCACAGATGTATGGCTTCCAAATATGGATTAAGCGTTAAATGTCAATGTTTTTACAAATGTACCTATAAACAAGTCAATTGTGTCTTAAAGGCTCTTTGCATGTATTACTTTTAACTTGTTAGGATAAAGGTAATGTGCCAAAAAGGGTTTGATTTATTTAGAAAATTCATTCCGATTATTCATTTTCTGTCACGGCTTTCCCTGATGTTCTCATGTGGAAACCCAACAGTTTTTTGTTTTTCTTTCCGCCCCCAAATGAGAAAATTGCCTGGATATCAACACAACCGTTCGGAGAGGTCAGATGATGTTTGCTCAGTGTCAGTCTTGACCTTTTCGCACAGACACTTGTTTGCTGGTTATCTGCAGTAGTAGCAGTCATGACGACTCAAACAAGTCGAACTTGTTTCATTTCTGCTGCTGGAACACATAACTGTAGTTTAAATCTGCTGCTGGATCTAATAGAGATGAGTTAGCGTAAAAAAAACAATGATTTTTGTTTTGTGCCCATGAACTCCGTCGGCTTGTACTTCAGCACATTGTTGCTCTGAATCCACAGAAGTGGCAACATTTACATCCTATTTGCTTACAAAATTAGTTTTGCCGGGTCATGCTGTAAAAAAAACAAAGTTCTGGACAAAGTGTCTCTGTTTTTTAAAACCTGACTAACCTTTAAAGATACTTGGAAGTCTCACATTTTGCACAGCTATGGCTTCCATTCTCATAACATGATGTGACTTTGTGGCGTTTGCATTTTTAAAGTTGCATCAGAGATTTATGCAGTTGGACAATGGAGAACAATAGAGATAAATAAACCTCTGTTCAAACTGGGAATGAATTGCTTCAATTGATACACAGAGAAAATCTAATTCTTTTGACCTCTTTACAAAAGCCATGATAACTGTGCAAGACTATTGGGCGGCAGGGTGGTTGGAAGACGTAGATGTCCAAAATAGTTTTTTTCTATGTCTTAAAAGACATCTGTGTCCCGACACTAGATGCCTGATTGGTCCATATTTTCACAACAAAACTACTCACGCAAGAGCCCTCCCTCTCCACGTGAATATTCAAATTTCATGCTGGAATTCACAGAATTTGAACTTCATCTGCATCAGAAATGTAGAGAATTCAAAATCAGTTTGACACGCGAGACGCTGAAGTTATGAGGAATGTGGACAGACCGTCCTTCATCCACGGGACATAGGGGACTCGTACCTTTTGAAAGCCTCAGTCTCGCTCTGAGCCTCGGGCCAAGCAGCCGGATGAAGGAAAAACCAGTATGCTTACTGGTATGTCCATTCGCTGGGTAATTTCGGCCTAAAGTTTCAGTTATTTTTGTGTTGTGGACACATTTTAAATCATACAATCATGCCAATAAATCCTGGTTGCTAGTCGATTAAAACAATTTAAAGTGCAGGAGGAAATACCAACTTTTGCCATGGAAAGGTTTCAGCTTTTTCTTTTAAATAAAGTTCCAAAGCTGCCATAATCCAAGTTCCAACGAGCAGTGAGACTATTTTAGTAGCTAACTGCTGAACAGAGAGAGGCATTAATCAGTTGATGAACTGGAGTTTCTCTCTGTTTGACCTGTTGGATGACAGACTGCAGGACTTTTAGCCATCTGCTTTTCGGAAATCAACCTTTTGCAAAAAATACTGTTCAATGTCTGTCAAACTTTGTTTCGATGGACATTTTTTTGTAGCTGCAATTTTAAGAAATGGGAAAAAAGATGCAACTGGCATAACATTTTTAGTATTAGTTAGTTTTTTGTGTCTACACACTGGTTCATATCTTTGGCTTTGGGAGGTTTTTTCGATTGAATAATTAACTAGTCAGTTAGCACAGTTAGCTGCACAGCTAAGTCGAAATGCAACGGGTCAACTTTCCTACATTTAGTCAAATGACTACCATTGTCTGACTTAATATGTAGCCATGTGAGGAAAATAAATGGATGGATGATGAATGGACTTGTACCTTCACATCAACAAAACATCAGCAGTCCTGTGCAGAGCTTATGAAGCTTTTTAAGATGATGAATGAGATGAAAATAAAATCAGAGAAAGCTGAGAAGGTAACTATGTAGCAGATCTAAACAAACTCAGACAACTTCTTTTATTGTCTTTGTTTTCTGGCACATTTTGCTAAGATTTTCTGGTTTGTCTTGGTTAGTTCATTTCTGACTAAGTTTAATTGTTTGCATTCAAGTTTTGCTGGGGCTCGTCTTTTAGCTTACACTTAATACATTCTGAATTTAATATTGGTTGCCATGGTCCCCGTGTGTTTTTCCTGCCCACACTGCACTTTTTACCCAATTACTTCTCAGTGTGTGGATGTTCTTGTCTCTCCTTCCGTGCCTGGTTCTCGTTCCTGTTCATCTTTTATGCTGCCTGTCCAGTAAATTACTTTCTTTTAAAAAAAATATATATTTAAGTACGTTTTTCTTCCTGAGCCTCCTCTGATTTATCATTTTCGTGGGCTTTAGGATCTGCATCCCACATAAACTCATGCAACACAAGATCACTGACAAATTAAATTGTGGGTCTTTTTTTTCTCTGGAAGAATAGATCAGGCAGGCAGAAACTTTCCATTACGGGTTTTGGACGTCCAAAGTCTTGCTCAGCAATTCCTTAAACTTGCAGTGTTCTTGGTAGGAGCCCAGTGCAGAATTCCAGGAGAGGAATTTTCTGTTATGTGGGTTGATATCAGCAGATTTTGCTACTTTAAAAGCAGCCCAATGGCCATTATTGAGTAAATGCAACTGTCCAAGCTATATAGACTTGTTTATGCAGATTAAAAGAAGTGTCCTTTATTGGCACTCTAAACATAAGATCCACCATCCTTCAAGGAAAATGAAAAATAAATACGATTTTTTTTTTTAATTACCAGAAAGGGGTTTTGGATTTCATTTCTAAGAATGCTGCAGTCATGGCAAATCGTGTTTATATAAACAACCATGAAAACATGGTGAGCCATGCGGGCTGAACACCAAATAATATAAAGATCACAAATCTAGGAAAAATAAAAATGTAGAAAAACTATGTTTTTATTTCAAAAACATTTCAACTTCACAAATATATGAGGAACCCATAGTACAATTCTATACATCACATGATATAAATATAAATGTGTGCTTTTGTTTCCATTCCACTTGTCTCCACCTGGCTTCTGATAAAAATAAAAATAAAAGAAAGGGAAAAAAAACTGCACTACAGCATCAGATGCGTTTAGGTTATAAATGAAAGAAAAGGCCGTAGCTATGACTTAGTTAGTGCAATAGCTTTGGTAAAAAATACGGTTACATATTCAAATACATTAAAGTTAAACATGGCAAAAGAAAAGTTGTTGTTTTTTATAAAAAGGCTAAAAGCACAAACGTATATTTAACAGATTACCTTTGTGTACCTTCATTTGACACTGATTTAACATAAAAAAACATGCTTAAAGCAACCCAAAAAAAAATGCTTGGATGTTTAAACTAAAATAATAACAAAGGTGTCTCACTGAAGACACAAGGCAGGCACAAAAAGGTACAAAAGACCTGTTCTGATCCCGACAGGACGACTGTTTGACCGTAGATTTGAGCCGTTTGCAGACTCTGCTGAATGGTCAGATGCTCGGACACCGTTTCGCCTCTCCGCTCGACAGAGGGATCTACTGATCCGGCTCGGCCTTGTTCTTCTTGTTCAGGACTTTGCGGAGGCTCTCGGGCATCAGGTAGGGCCGCTCCGCACTGCCGTCGTTCCTCTCCAGATCCTCCACTGGAAAGAGATTCGATTAGGAAAGAAAATAAATGGGTTACATTAAAAGTTTACAGTTGCTATTATTCATGAGTCAGCCTTAGTTCAAATCAAAACTTCGGTTTGGTAGAAAAACAAGGGAAAACACTTTAATGACGGAAGCTTCAGAGAGTTCCAGCAGCATTCTGTTAAAATGTCTTTGTAATGAGCTACAGCATGCATTTATACACTGTAAAAAAAAAAACAAGAAAAACAAAGATAAACTTTATACAGATAATATACAGACTGATCTAATATGGCTTAGAGTGATCAGTAAAGTGCTTTACTCAAACTCTGTAGAAGTGGTTCTGACATCAACTGTAAGATACGAGAAAAAAAAGAAAAAAAAAAGAGGCACATGATGGGCTTCAAGTTTCTACTGACCACAGGCAGTGAGGGAGGAACGGTTTGAAAAAGGCAGAAACTGAGATTAGAAAAAGCTGCTCAACTGCCATCTGGGCATGAACCTGAACAGTTTGTCCATCACTTTATCACTTTTTAAAGTCACAAAGCAGCTAAAGACTACCAGGTTATTTTAATATAAACAAGAAAGAACTAAATCAAACTGCATTTAATCAGAAATAATTAAACAGGTCGCACACGTACCATAGTCCTGCTAACATCTTTCAGGAAACAGTCTGGAACATAAACAGGCAGACTTTCCAATTTTCAGCTGTAGCTGGTGGGCTAAATGAAGCTAATGTTAGCTCAACATGAAGTTAGAAATGTTTCTGGTTAACTTTCTGGGGGAAAAACATGAATGCATAAATTCCACTGCTTAGGGATATATTGATATTAATTAGCTGAGCAAAAAAAAAAGAAAAGAAAAAAGTCCTAATCTCCCATAACTAATGACTCGTGTATAAGCTATACAAAATAAACACACTGACTAAATTATAAGGACCAACCAAACAGACTTGTTTTCCCAACTTCACCAAGTCTGGTTGTTAAAGTAGTATTAGTAATCTTTTTTTTTTACTTTCTGGAAATAACCTGCACATTTGTCAGCCTGTTTATCATCAACAAGAACCGGTGATAATGCCCCTTTGTTGGCTGTAGAAACTGCAAACTGCTTCTTATAATTAAATCCAGAACTTTTCTGGTTTCTGTATTTTACATTTGGAAAGATGAACGAAGATTTAAAAACTCTACAAGGACAGCTTTACTTCCGGGTTAGGATGGCTTTCTTGAGGGACGGGTTTAGCAAACGGTGGACATAGTTTTCCCATGTTGCTTTGTGGTAAACGACAGAGAAAAAAGTAAACGATCACACTCTGCGCTGTTAGCTAAAGAGAAGAGTCTTTCATTCATCTATGGAAGCTAAATAATCAACCCCTGCCGCTTTAAGGCAAAACGTTCCACGGCTGGAATAAAACCAGATACAAGTCAGTAAGACACCAATTCATAATTAGAATCCAAGTCCAGCACTTTGGCATCAAGATATAACTGAATGTTGTCAGCCCGCTAAATGACTGAAAGAGAGTCGTCTCTAAGCTGCATCCTCCTCCCGACTGTTTTCTTTCAGCCGGGCGTCCTGGTCCAGCTGCTGCTGGGCAGAGCCCCCCGACGGGTCATCAGCCTTGTCCTCCCACAGAATCTCGTGGAGGGTGGACGACATGTAAAACGGTCTTGCGGCTGACCCGTCATTGCGTTCCAAGTCTTCACCTTATTGTGTGTGCGTGTGTGTGGTTTCGGGTTGCATTAATGGAAGGGGGTGGGAGGTTAGTGGGTTTAAAATCAAAGTAAAAAAACGTAAAAAGTTGGTATAGGGTAAGTGGGGGGGGGGGGGGGAAAAAGAAAAAATGGCATTGAAGTGTGGAAAGTGAGAGAAAATGAGACAAAAAGAGACAGGAAGTCAAAAAGCAAGCAAGCAAAAAGCACCCACAGACAATGCAGATTTTTAAAAGTTAAAGCTCATCACAAAGCAGCTGCTGTCAGTAAACAGGCCAGTTTGGTCACCATTTTGAAACAGAAAAATAGTTTTAAAAAAAATATACAGAATATTTTAAAGCATAGAAAAACATCCCAGTCGTTTAGAATTAGTGACAGCCCAAAACCAAGAAGGAAGATCAGGAGGTTTGATGGAGCCGATTTCTCCTATAAAACATGCTAAAGTCTTTACTCCAATTACTCCCCTCAACAAAAAGGGAGCACAGGATGCGTCACTTACAGAAACAGAGGAACAGTGTGTCCACACACATGGCATACACACTGAAGAATCCATGGGCGATGAGGTACGAGCCAATGATCACAGTCTGGTGAGGAAGACAACAACCACACATTTCACTCATGATGTGTACACACACACACACAGTTTTATTACCAAATAAAACCCACACGAGTCCCTCTCACTCACCAGGATTGGCACCCAGTAATAGTGGAGGTTTGGAGCTGTATCCTCAAAGGCCTTCACTCGTCCAGAGAAGAAAAAGAAAGCAAAGACTCCTGTGGATGGAAAAATAAAATAAATTAAAAAAGGTCAAGTTAAGAATTATTTTAAAGCTGAACTACACTCCTGTGGAAATTGGAGATCAGAAATGAAGGAAACACACTCACCAACGAGTCCAACAATGAGCAGTTTGCCCAAAAATAAGAGGAAATCTGTCACTTTATCCAAGACGGCAACTCTGAGGATTTTAGAGATTTTTTTTATGATTAAACTTATTGTTTGTTCCATTACTATACATTCAAAACAATTCAAGAAAATAGTCTCTGCTCACCTGATCATGTTCCTCATGAGGAGGAAGAAGGCGTCTTTGGCAGATGTGCAGAAGTTTTTGCCGTATATCGCCACCTGGAGGCCAAACACGCACATTACAACCAAGAGAAGCAATCTATGCTCACCAGTTTTTAACTAGGAACAGGCGTTGAGGCAACATTAATTCTAAAGAGGCTGAATATTTTTATTGATTTTTCAGCTGGTGAATCACAAAAAGAAATAGCTTTCCGTTTGTGCAACATAGGACATTTAGAATAAAAATAGTTTGCAAAACACAGTCTTCAGTTTTTCCTGACGTTATCCCGAATATAAGAAGAAAGTCTGAAATCAATGTTGTGGTCTTCCAGTTTAATTAGCAAGTCAAACATTGGTCACTTTTTTGTAATTGTGCTCCAATTCTTAACACCAATTCTCTAAGGATCAACTCAACTCTGAATGAGATGTTAAACAAGTCCAGACAGGGGTGATAAAGACAAAATCGATCCAAAAACCTCTAACTAAATGTAAAAATGAAAAAAAGAAAAAGATTGACCTTTCATAAACTACCAGATGAAATGGAAAACCTTGTTTAACATAGAAAATCGAGGGAAAAAAACAAAACTAAAGCACAAACCATGATGTAGGCGTTTCTGTTCAGGAACTTGATGAATTTCTCCAGACACCAGAAGCAGCACTTCAGACAGCACAGCACGAATTTGGCAAACTTGTTCTGGGCTCCTGTGAGACATGGCCCAATCAAAAGATAAGAGAAACTTCACCCCATCGTAACCCAAATGGAGATATTTTTACACCACAAGGGGTCACCCGTAAAGCAGACCTTTCAGCTTGTGGTCCAGATACTCCAGCAGAACCCTGATGATCTGGATTATTGAGAGAATAAGCGAGCCAAACGCCAGACTTCCTGTGTGATACCTAAAACCAGATGCCAGCGGGTCACTGCAGAGACATACAGACCGAGCAACAAGAAAGTCACCACATATAAAGAGTTTTACTCACCTGAGCGATCTCCCCAGGGAGGAGAACACCGGGAAGGCAGGCATGTCATCGGGCTTGACGAAGGCCCAGTAGTAGGAGGCAAAAGCCCCGGCTAGGGTCATCTGTCCCAGGGCCGTGACGAAGTTGGCGCACCAGAAGAAGAGAAACACGTTGTAGAACTGCAGGCCGATCAGGTATTTGTGGTAGACGGTCTCTCCCCCGTAGAAGGCAAATAGGCACTCGGAGTCCGGGCACTGCGCTTTCATGGAACTGGTCGAGTAGTTCTGCACGAATGGGAAAGAAACCCAGCACGAGGAACACAGAGGGGAGGCAGAAAGTCAAAGCCAGAAAGATAAAACCTAAAGGTTGTTTGGAAATTTAAAAAAAGAATGTAGACTTACAGCCGGGTCGCACGTTGTTCTGGAGTGCTCACACGCCGTCTCATTAAACACTTTGTAGATGGGCTCGTTGGAAGTGGACAGGAAGCTGATCTGTTCGGTCAAGGCCAACGAACAGCAAGGCACTTACCCACCTTTGTCAGATACGATGATATACGTGGTAATAACCAGATTCTGTAAGCTGAATCCTTCAAAATGAAATTTTTAAAAGGCTACAGCAATAATAGAAATGACCATCCAAGAAAACGAGATGACTGTTTGTCTTCTTTGGATTCCCCGCACACAAACCATTTTGATGAATTAGCATCAGTTGTGGCTGTTCAGAGCCTACATCCTTGTCTAGCTAAAAAATACAAAATACCATACATTTCAGTTTAGATTCATGAAAACAACTGTGGTCCTGCCTTTAAACCTCCAGTTGGCTACATTTGTTCAGTCGCAGGAGCACAACCTAAAGATGTGTCGCCCTCTGCTGGCAGGTTTAGACCTTTGTGTGAAGCGGATAGTTACTTTTTCATCCTTAAAAACAACCTCAGCCTTTTCTCAAGTTCTCATACTTGTGTCGCGGCTTCTGTCAAGACTGGAGTGGAAATGTCACTGTAACTGTGAGGGGCTTTCTGGTCCTCGGCTAAGGGTAAATTAGAGTGAGACTGAAGGATACACAGCAGTTACAGCCCAGTAAGCGATGACCACAGCCAGGAGGACGAAAGTGAACAGCGGGTAGAGGAGGGAACACATCACATGTCCGACAGCTCTGTAAGCGAGACGGTGGAGTTACTGTTGGTTAGATATACATGTACACCCTCATGGAAGATGATCTGACACCTTTTAATGTAATGAATCGGTATATAAATCAGAGCTATTAAGTAACCATCTGTTCATAAAAATAAAAAAAAATGTAAAGCTGCAGGATGAAATCTGACCTGCTGGCTTCTTTAATCAGAGCAATGGCGATGAGGATTCTCTTTCTCAGAAAGATGAGCAATAGGATGATAACTACCTCCACAATGGCCAGGATGATCACTAACAGGAGGAAAGGGTGAAAGATCGTATGAGCATCTCGTATTGAAACAACCCCGGAGAGGGAGACCTTGTGGGAATTTGGGTATGTACTGACTGAAGGCCAGCCAGGTCTGCCTAATCTGCAGGTAGACGGTGAAGTCTGTCTGGAAGCCCAGTTCCTGTATGGTCACATTGGAACCAGCGTCTCCTTTCAGGGCAGCGTACTCCATGTAGCAGTGGAAGATGCCTACGCGGAACAGAAACAAAGCAGTTTTAGAACGGTGGCAGCCATTACGGAAAAACCTTTTTCATGTTCAACTCGAAAAACAGAAGTAAACTACTTCATTTAAATCTCTGAAAGTTGCAGGTTGAGTCTGCATTTGTAGTGACAACTTTGAAGGAATTCTATCAACTTTTTCACTGGCCAGAGAAGCCAAGTCTGGAAAAATCATTGCAGTAATGTTAGAACACAAAGCTATGGATGCAAATGTTGCTCTGAAGGAGCCAAATGTTTTTACAAAATACACATGTCCACACGCTCATTGTAGAGGCTTTCCACTTATCGAGTTAAAATCTTGGCGCAATCAGCCAGTGAGTGTTTTCAGCCAAATTTACAAAGCAGAAACAGAGAGCTGAAGCCAATTCTGCTCTCTGTCCCCATTTTAGCAACATTTCAGAGGACGGTGGGGTCAGGGTTGCATTTGTTTTTACGTACATTTAACAAAAGTAACAAAAACATTTAAAGCCGATGTAACCACCCAGCTAGGTCGGCATTAATTATTTAAGTCTCCTGCGACAGGATGCATCTGTCAAGTGACTCAAACCCAGATTGCAAGATAATAAAAATATTTTCAACTCACTCCAACATTACAGACTAAGCAAGTCACTTTGCTATACTACATACAACCCGTTGCAGCAACAGTCTCGTAGCATTTCAGAGGATATTGATTTTATCGGTCCACATTATGGATAGTCCACATAAGTCAAATGTCACATTTTTGTGCACTACTAAATTACCTGTGGAAATTCCATTGAAACCTCAACACTCCATCAGTATTTTGACCCTTCTAACCACTTCCATGATGTGTGAGAGCTCCAATGATTATTCCAAAGGACGATTTAGAAAAGAGGGTTCTCCAGATGACAGTCATGAGCCATGTCCCTTACCGTATCCAATCACCAGGATCACCAGGGCGATCATGACCCAGACCATGATGCCGGCCAGGAAACGCAGGAGGACGATGAAGAGCAGACTGATGAGCATGGCGATAACCAAACCTCTACAGAGGAAGTCGGAGGGGAGTTGAATCAAACGGAAGACATCAAAGAGAGCAAGAAACAGGAATAATGAGGATTGACCACTTACATGAGGATCCAGTACCAGGACTGTGTGTAATCCTCAAAGATTTTCATCACCAGCTGACGGGCCTCAATAACCACGGTAGCGTTCCTGGGGAAAGAAACCTGGGTTTATAGCTAGTTCCAACAAGGGGGGTGATTCCTTCTCACGTGCAAGCAATAAATGTTCAAGTCTTAACTGATTATCCCACTACAAAAAGAAAAAGAAAAAAAACAGGGAAAAGAAAAGAACTCACTTTACTCCATCCACAAGATCTTTGGCATCTCTCATGTTTCCCGTTCCATCATCGAACTTGGAATCGTTTCCCACGGTTATCACGCCTCCTTTCAGGCCCAAGGCGGGGAAGCACCTGCGGGTGACTGGGGGACAGGGTTTTAAACCAGTTAGTACCAACTACACAAACATGTTTTGTAAAAACAAAAACGGAAGGTACAGCCTTTGTCAGTTGTTTTTTTTTTTTTTTTTTTTTAAATCAGGTAATTTTAACTGCTTGTCCTCTTTCGATCTCAGTTAGCCAAAATAGCCTTAAAGCATTATCAATAAAAAAAGAAAAAAATTAAAAACATGAAACCAAAATGCAGAAGTAGAGCCTGAGAAACTTGGTACACCCGGTCATTCACCAGCTTCATTTATGACTGCTGCATTTATTTCTGCACTGCTGAATTGCACAAGTGCAATACATGATTTTTTTCCCCTTTTATAGACTCTGCTGTGGGAGTGCAGCTGTGTTGGGATCGTTGTCCACAAAGTGTTCCAGCCAAAATTTAGCCACGGTGCTTCGAGATACAGATGAGATCAGCGAGTCCTGTGGTCGAAGAACAAGCCCAATCCATCAGCCCTCCACCACCGTGCTTCACTGCTAGTTTGAGTGATGTGCTTGGGTTTCTCCAAACATGCTCCAGTGCATTGGGAAGTGTTGTGGTTTGCTCAGATGTCACTTTCCAAACCTCAGTTGTTCTATCACATTCTTTATAGAAAAAGGAGGCTTTCCTTCTAAGCTAAACATGCTTGTTCAGCGTTTTTCAGTGTCACGACCTTTGACATTCTAACTGAGGCCTGTGTAGTCTGAGATGTAGCACTTGGGCTTTTACAATTTGCATTGTACATTAAGACTTTTGGGTGAACTTGGTTGTACACCCACTCCTTAGAAAGTTGTCCGTTCAAACCGTTTGAAATGTTTTACTGTTATAAATAAACTCTTTGTGTAACAATGGACTCAAAATAGTTTGGAAATATCTAATCCTTCCCAGATCGATACACGGTATCAAAAGCTTCCCCAAAGATCCCTGCTATACATCATTAGCAGTGTCAGGAGGCTGCTTGGCCTCTCTGTTTACATGGAAGCAGATGGGCAATTTCCACTCGCTGCTTCTACATATCAATAGTTTCTTTCAAAAATAGTGACGGTATTGTGTAAGCCTAAAATGTAAAGAGCGCGTGTGCTTTTTTACATCCAACATAATGCATTTATCCTCTTTGGGGAAAGGGAATATGTCATGAGTACTCAGAGGCTTCAACTCACAGGGCTTGCTGGGTGTCAGCATCGCAGGACAGAGACCTTGGCTGAGAATTTCCGGTACACCCTGAAACAATAAAAAAGGAACAAAAACATCATGTGGGTCTATTCTAATCAACGAGAATAACACCAGAATTAGTAATCTTAAAGAGCAACTCACCATTGTTCGAGTCACACCGTCCTTGCAGAAATTTTTATAGTAGTCAAAGTCCTTTTGGTTGGTGTAGGCTTTGAGTAAAGTCATAAACTTTTCAGGGCATTTCTCCACACACATCTGAAAAATTACATCAGAACGCACAAATGTCATGACAAGTGCAAGTGGATGTCTTTTTGAGAGATTCTATTCTGGGGGGGTGGGGGCAAACAAAACAACAGCTTGGAGTTCACACCTGCGTGGTGGGACACTGGAACTCCAGTAGGACCATGGGGCTGGCGCACTTCATGATGTTGAAGTAAAACAGCTGGCGCTTGTTCCTGGAGAAGGTCGAGGGAAAAAAATAGCCCTTAAAAAAAAGATCATAAGATCCTCACACTGTCACTGTCTTATGGTAGAAATTAAAAACCTCTCAGCTTTTTGTCACAACAATTTAATCGGTCAATTTTGATCAAATCAAAGTGTTAGATTATCTCCCAATTTGCTTAAATTGACAAGCCATGTCCCTAAAAAAAAAAAATAAATAAATAAATAAATAAGATAAAAAGATCACTGTCGAGCAAAGAATATACTGTAGTCATTACAGCGAGTGGACGCCAAAAACAGCCCTGTGCGTGTGGCTAAAATAAACTGAGTGGCTAGCTTAGAAGAATCATTTACAGTGAAATGAATAAATAAAAACAGGAGATGAATGCTGCGATTACAGGTTTATACTCACTCAAGCGGAGTGCCAGCCTGCCCGCAAAACTGACCACGACTGTCTGTGGGGTAGATCACCTTCCTGGGGTCACCCTGGGACCAGGCTGGAAGCAAATATTGAAAATTAAATAAATAAAATCTTGAATTTTTGCATAAATCTCAATTTTAAAAAGCTAAACCAAACTACAGATCCTTACCCAGAATTCCAACTGCGATGTAACCCAGCACGGCAATAATGAAGAGGATGCAACAGACAATGTCTGTGCAGCCCCTGGGATGCAAAAGAGAAAAGAGGCCCTTTGTGGTTACTGGAGCAGCACAGCATGAAAGTCAGCAGTTTTTTTTACAGAAAAACACCATCTCCATCTCACCTATTCTGGATTGGACCCTTAAAGGTGGGATCATACTTCCTTGGCTCGCCTGCATGGGGGAAAAAAATGGCATTTATCACAGAGGGGAATCTTATCAGAGGTAGTGTGAATACATGGTCTTGGGTTAAAAAAAGCATTTTCCAGTTATCTCCTCACTCATTTCTGATAAAACCAGATACATCATGGCGAATTATAGGGGGCTGATTTGAGGTTAAGAGCAGAGTGCCCTCGTCTTCCTCCCATTCTTCTGTCAGATGACTTTTCCCTTCAGACTTGACACGCCTGGCAACCCGACTAAATTCCTCCTTGGTGACTAAACAGGAGCTGAGCCACGTGAAGGGAGCAGGCAACATTACACGGAAAATTACTCAAAGGCCATCTGAAAATCCCTTTATTATTTATTTAGACTGAAAACAAAAAAGGGAATATCGCATCAACACAAAATAGGTCCTAAGCCAGCTTTCAATTTTTTACATTTCCCCATCAGAAATGATTCAGACATTACTAAATGCTGTTCGTTTCTTCAGCTATTCAACATTGACCTGTGAATCACGCATAAGAAAAGCAGCTGACATGAGGATGAAACAGTTTCATCTCAACACATGACAACCTGTGAAGTAATCAGCTTTTAAATGGCATATTAAAGACACTTTGCTACTACTGACCTCATTTATTGACCACATTTACTCCTACTCTAAATACCCCAAAACAAACGTTTAGCAGGAAAAACTGTACATCAATAAGCTCCTATGAACAGTTAGCTGAAAATCTGATATGTCTCATCATGGTGTGACTCATAAGTTGTCACAGGCCTAAAAGAAAACTTTTTCTTCATCATTAGCAATGAAAGTTAATGGGGAGAAAAAGAAATTTCCTTCTAAAATGAATGGTAACACATCTGATGGAGAGACGAATCCTACTCAGAGCCTCGAAGAAAACACTATTGAAGCAGTGCATTATTATATTGACACAACGGAACAAGAGGCAGCCAGCGTTTAGGAAGTGCTTTAAGAAGCCTGGAGAAGCAGTCTTAAAGGCTACTTAAAAATAAAACGACAATAAATCCTATCCAGGTTGGATCAGGCTATTATGTAGGGAAAAAAAATGCTCATATCAAATATTAACTCTCCAACTCAAAAACAGTTCTACAGTCTCTTGCCTTGTATAAATTAGTCATATCATCACTTGCACATTTCAGTAATTTCTCCACCCATTTCAGGAAATGGCCTGCATCATTTTAATTGTGTTCTTTTACAGAGCTGGTTCTCTTTAAGACATGCGGCTTGATGTGAGCAGTGAATTTTGAATAAAAAGAACAAAAAACAAAACCCCCCAAAAAATGTTTGTTCCTGAGGTCAGTGTGTCAGAAGCTCTCATATCTAAGCAAATTCACCAAGCTGCGTTTGCATCTCTAAACGTATGTGACTTATTTTTTTCCCACCTGGCATTATGAGGAAGTGAAATCCAAAACCAGATATGACTGACCCAAATGTCTTAAATTACTCCGTCGTGTGAAAAATGGACTCGCTTTCAAAAACACAACCTCAGCTGCCTGGTTAGCGCCGCACCGCTACTGTAAGTGGACGCACAAATATGAACGATGACACCATGGGGTCTAGACTAAATGTATGATGTGCTCTGTGGCGTCTTTGCTCATCAATTATGCATCCACGGCGAGTGGGGTGATGCTGAAGCTAGCATTTACCACCCATGCCCTGCTTCCTGTACCACAGGGCATGGGTGTCGCATTTCATGCGTGTGCTGCGGTTTCCCAGAGTTCACCTGTGACATGCTGCAACAAGCTAAGAGAAGACCCTGTCATTTTAACCCAAAGAAAAAAGGAGTCTCAGTCATGCGTATTATAAGCAGCAAGGAAACACAGAAAGAGAAACTTTTTCTGACATGGAAAGAAAAAAAAAAACCCAACAAATCTCCGTGTGGCCACACTCACTCTCACAAACTGCCAGCAGTAGCAAGTTCCACAAACACACCCACCCATTATTCTACCCCGCTGTGCTCACTGCTGAAAGTACCGCTTCAGTTTCACTCCACACCACACTTCCTAGAAGAGAAGTCTACCCCACTCCAACTAAAGTCAAAACAAAACCTAAGACCTAATAGACACCCTCATATTTGTCAAGTTTGTTAGATGTAGAGTGTAATAGGAGAAAAAAAAAAAGTAAAAACCCGTAAATGGAGAATAAAAGGCTAAAAGAGCAGTTACCATGTTTTCCGTAGAATTCTCCCTCTTCTGGCATGCTGAGAGTCTTTTCTGGGGGCCCACACACTGAAATGTATGGCGGTCCTTTTGCTTTCTTCCCCTTCTGCCGTTTGAAAGGACTGACAGCGAGGGAAACACAGGTATTGCTGAGGGGGGGGGGAAACCAGTCTAACCTGTCCTTGAATACCCAGGGAAGCTCCACCTAAACTCAAGCTCCCCCACCCTCTGTTGATCCAGAAACAAGCGCTTCTCTCCAATCTGCGCTCCACCTGTGCGTCTCCCCTCTATCTCCTCCCCCGTCCAAAAGACCTCATTCTGTCTGAAACATGAAAGCCACACGGAGGCGAGAATGTAAACTCCTCAGCGGGAAATCAGGGAGTGAACAAGGAGAAGGTGGAGACTTACTCTTTTCCTCTCTCACTGTAAGTTTGTGCTGATGTTTTAGGCTAAGCGTGGAGGGAGGGGAAAAAAAACAACCCCTACCTCGAGCTGTTTTTCTCATCTGGAGGGTAATCAGTTTCAGGTGTGTGGGGGTATTTAGGAATTTAAACGCATTCAGCTGCAGTGATGAGACCTCTAAAGCTCAGTAGCTCGGTTTTGCTTTGAGTAACTGCTTCCACAGTTAGCTAAAACCTCCTCCATCTGCTGGGAACATTGATGTACTGCATAGGAAACGGGTGAGAGGAAACAAGAATCTAAAAAGGTTGTTTTTCTTTTTTTTTTCTTCTTGCTAGCTCTTGGAGGCCGGATGTTTTGGACTTGGATGTGCTCTGCGTCAAATGGCAGCAGCATTCAGAGCCTGTTAAATGGATTCATCACTTTAACAATGACGGCTCAGACAGGCCGACTGCTACAAAAATTTAGTTTTAAACTGAGCAGAAGAGGGGTGGGGGCTGGAGTGAGCCAGTGTTTCCATCTGTTGTGCTCTTGCTGCGTGGTCAGTTTTACAGCTCGCAAGATTTCCCACCATCTGCAAGAAATTTGATGTTGAAGAAGAGAGTTTTTGGGATCTTCTGCCCATGCAGTTCAGCGTGTCATCACAAAAGAAACTGTGAACCTTAGTCACCCCGGGTCACGCACAGCTCCCGCCTATTGTGAGGTCTTTTTCTTTCAGAAAATGAAGAAAAATTACATAACTTCTCATAAGTGTCACGAGCCGATTGTGAGAACACAATGTATTTAACAGTTTGTATCGGTACAAAAAAAAGTTTATTTTTCCAGTACATGTTATCTGAAAGGTTCCTGACATTCCTGCCACCACTTTTTGTTTGTTGGCCTTTGTTTCTTGATATCTCCCCTCACATCCTATACCAACATGTCCCACTATGTTGGTACACTATAAACATCACTGGTAAACTCACTATATTTTTCCCAGTTGGCGTCTATAAATATTTTTTACAACACAGTATGACTATCTTACACCACCCAGAGGCTACTGCTTTTCCCTCTGTTTTATCTCCCACATGTCTTTCATTAAAGGCAAAGGGAGTGGCTTTTTATCCATGCGGACTCAAAAGCCAAGTTCAGATCTATTTATAGCGTGCAAAAAGAAAGAACTCAACATTCATACCAAACTCTTTAAACTTTTGCATCCTTTAGAAAAGCAGGAAACACATCTCAGGCCTCTGTCTCTGCAAAAACAGTCAGTAAATAGCCTCTTAAAATAAACCTAAGCTGTTGAAAACTTGCCTTAGACTGTGTTGACCTTTTGATTGCTGGCCTTGTGGGATGAAACGAATCGGCATTCATTCACAATTTTTCCCAAAATTGGGCCTTTGCTCTACATGGCAGTGTTAGTATTAGGACCACCGTGTACTGGATTAAAAAATTACACACATACTACTTCATCTAAACAACAGCTGCGATGTTACACCTCTTTAAAAGCAAAGGCTGTGACCGCCTGCTGCTCAGGAGGTGTATGTAAATCCAATGCCAAGGAAGAAAGACATTAGCCATGATCTCAACCTTACAATACAGATTTTTACTACTTATGATGGATGCCTCACAATGCCTGCCTCCTCAAAAATTGAGATCACAAAATGTAAGCTGTACTATGGAGCTGGCCGTGTATGCTTACTTTTTATGTTTCCATCTTTTGCATAGTTAGTTTCTTGCACCATACTTGGTTTAGGGGTCCTTACATAAGCTTCTCTGGTTGTTTCTATCGTGATCTTAAGGCCATCAAAACGCTGCCTCATTTCCCCCTTTATCAGGGCGGCATCTTCTTTTCTGAGTGAACATCTGCCCCGACGTGTGAAAGGTCATGCTGACAGTGGAGTTTGTTGCTTATGTGAAGGCAAGGTAAAACAGCCACTGTATTTTCAGCCTTCAAGAAGGAAGAAATGTTTAGAGTTCATCATTTTGCCACAAAAGGATTATTACAGATTGGGAAACCTTCAGCCATGTAAACAACATCCTTTGGAACAGAAGAGACCAAAGTGGAGATGGACTCATTAACATTAACTCAGTTTCTCCTTCATAATTAGCTCATAATAGTGTAACCGGGTTGGATTAGTATGTGTTGTATATGTTGTGTTATATACTATGTGTGTTATAATTGCACAAAATATCTTCTATTACTCTCATTGCTGTGCCTGACTGTAAATAGTTTGTGCCCCTTAGGTCCTCCCCTTCGTAACCTTGTCCAATGAGAGAGGTTGGTGCAGGTCATTTCTAACTTAATCACATTTGGTTTATTTATACATTTATAAAATAGATGTTCGTTACCATCATCACATATATTTATATTGGTCCTATAATTTTAAATAGTAAACATATTTATGACAGCTAAGTAATAGAGATTACCTTTAGTTTTGTTACATATTTAGAATTTGGAGCATATCAGATGTTTATCTGTTCACTGTGTTTGTCAGAGTAAAAAAGCAAGCGATCATCTTTAAGGCTATGAGTCACGCAGAAGAGAATCGGTTACAATAGAATTATAAAAAAGTAAGTCTTCTTCTACAGATATGGCACAAAACAAAACCAGGATCCCTGCAACTCAAGATAATAGCTTGAACAATTAAATAGCACAAGCTTCCAGAATCACAAGCCGGAAACATCTGCAAAGATGCTATCTTAACCTGTTTATATAACCTAATCTAAGGAACAGGTCAGCTCGCTGTAATATCTAGATTTTGAAATAAAATAGTGACGATGGGGAATATTTCAGGGAGTGTGAGATCAGTCAGTCAGGTTTAGAATTGGAACTGAAAGCTGAAAATGGGCCGAACATTAAAAAAAAAGAGAAATGTGCATAAGTTGGAGTGAAGAAAAAAGCCTGGGATCAGCTTTCAAACCATCTTGTCTAAATATGGCATTTAATTACATCTGCAGCAGGGCAGATTGGCTGCTTCAAATCCTGTCATTGCGGTTTTTCCAAATACCCCACCCTGAAATTATTCCCAACAAGTCAAACCAGAGTAGAACCTACAGCTTCTCGAGTTTACGTAAAGTTTTTTTCCCCCTCACAGTTTCCTCGTTTCAGCCGAGCTGCTCAAAAGCTTAAAGATCTATTGAGGAAAATCATCCTTGGACATCCGCTGAGGTTTCTTTGTGAGGCAACTTCCCCATTAATTCTATAAGTGAGTTTGCCACTCTCCACACAAACAGAGCATCCATTGCCTTTAGTGGAGACTTGGCAAAGTAAATCAATTAAGCCATCATGTGGCAGGGAGAGTGGGAAAGGGCGTGTAAGGAGGAAAGGAGAACAGGAAGGATCCCGTTTTACTCTTGTGAAAGCTATTTCGTGAGAACTATTTGCGATCCAAGATGGATCCAAACAGATTTCCATGTTTATTACCGTGCATAGGTTATAGTCCCACAACAAGGTCTTGGAATTAGTCTTATTCCCTGAAGTTCAATGTGTCTTTGTGCTTGCAGACCTACGGGAGCTTTGCTGTACTCAGCATAAAACGCTCCACAACACCGTGTGTGGAGTTTGGAGTAAGTCCTGAGCTTAATTCCACCCACATTACATATTTACAGCCACTTTAAGACTGCCAAGGCGGGGCTGTTTTTAACCGTCCAGACATGTCAACCTTATCCAAAAAAGAACCAGAAGGGCAGGGTTTTGAATGAGACGACCCCCGTGAGCTCTGTATAGATGAAGATCTGGCATCTGGGGACCATGCACACTTGTTCGGGGTGTTTTCTTACTGGTTCTATACATAGCTTGGAGGCAGCTCTCATACCAGTCTGAGGAATGTGGCAGCAACTGGTCAATCACAAGAGAGACTGGGGCATTGTGGAGCCAGACAATACACGACAAGGTCCCCCCCCCCTCCCCTCAAACCCCACAAAAAAACTAACTCAAAGAGTCTTCAATGTTTAAAAAAAACAGGCTAAAAACAATCAACTAAGCCTAATATTCAATTGAGACAGGCCTAACTGTTGAGGAAGTCTGAAGAATAGAGTCACCACGTTCACTGCTTTTTAAGGAAAGAAGGAAAGTGCTCTTCAAAGCAGCTCGCTAAGCCGAAAACAATTCAAAGAACAAAAAAAAAAAGAGGAAAACTTTCGAAAGCAGACATTTCCGAAACTGAAAAGCTACTCGCTACAACTCCGTGAAAAAACATTGCTTCCCTGCGTCTCATAAATGAATACAAAGTTAAAATGTAACTAATGATAAGGACAGCGGACTAGTGAAGTGCCCGTATGGAACTTTAAACAATTACCATATTTTGGTTTCTCTTCCAGTTCCATGGTTGCTGAACGCTTCGTTTGGACCGCAGTAGTTCCCAGGCGACGACTACAGCATATTCCCGGCCTCAGCTGTGGCTAACGTGCGGGTCTTCGGACAATTCGTTTACTTCGTTGAAGACCGCTCCAAAATCATGTCTGTCAGTAAACATTTAAAGCGAGGTTCCCAAAGGGCGGGCTCTGACCAATGAGGACGCGGCGCGCTGTGATTGACAAGGATCCAAGCCAATCACTGACGGAAAGAGGATGAGCTTTTTTTCCTTTCTTTCCAGAGACTGGGTTCATTTTCAGCACCGTTAACTCACCGAGGCAACTTTCTATTGAACCGCTCGAGCTGTCGACTAAATAATCAAAGTGCATCACATGAGTTCACGTTAAAGTGAAGCAGGATTATTTGATCTGCTTGGCCACAATAATTCATTTGCAGAATTAGAACAAAATGTTTATTTTTTCTAAAAGGGTTCCGACAACTTCTCAAGCTATGATTAATCTCAGAGCAACATTAAATTTACAAGCAGCATATCCATTCATAATTTAGCCTGGGCTGAATTATGAATAAATTCCCTGCTCAGACTCTGCACTTTGAAAGCCTGACAGCAGCAGTGTGCATCCGAAAAATGCAGGGTACTGCATAAATAAAAGCAGATTACTCAGTGAGTAATGCCTTCCGGTTTTCACTTCAGCAAAAATGAGATCAGTTGTTTAAAATGTGTGATTGATAGGGAAACATTTTTGCTGTGAAGGGATGTGCGACAGTGACATCTTGTGTTACATTTGCATAATAGGTACCTCTCCATCTTTCAGCTTCAATATTAACCTCCAAAGAGAGCTGTGACACCATAGACATTTTCAATAGAAGTGCTATTGTGGTAGAAAGATAAAAATCAAACAAAGATAAAAAATCATGATTGTAAAACTTTTTGAAATTTAGCTGAAGAAGTGAGAGAGAGAAAAGTTGGTAAATTATTCAGTGATAACCATGAATGAGCTCCCTGAATGGACTGAGAAGTCGTCTCTTGTAACAAACAGTTTTTTTCTGATTATATTGCTTACACCATCAGGTGTATAACTGACAAAATCCCCTACCAACCGTTTAAAAAAAGTGAAGAATCACACAGTTATACAGGATTGTATCTGTTGCGAGCACTGTGATATCTCCTCTTGTTACTGGTTTCAGCCATAAAAGAGCGGCGTCAGGGTCGTTGGAGAAAAACATTTGTAAATGAATCAAATAACATTACTTCCCTTGTCTGCAATTGCTCTTGCACTGATCAATTCATTCTCCTTTCTTTCCATTTTATTCATGCTCTGCCTCACAGACAAGTCATCCATAACTAGATAGGATTTTGACACCTGTTTAAAGTTCTTACTTGCAAATATTACCAAAAATGTTATAGTTGAGCACTATAACGTGTGAATAAAAGAATAAAAAACAGATATAATTAAGACTTTCTGAAACAAAATTACTCCAGCAGCAAAGCACCTAAAGCAATGTCAACAAATGTTTTTTTAAAAACATCTGTTTTCTCTGAAAAAAAAACAACAGAAAACAACCAGAACAATACAGAAACATTAGATTAGAGGTACTTCAGTCACATAAGACTAATGTAATGCCATTATCGGACATTTCTAATTTAAAGATGAATTAATCAGATAACACTTCTCAGCCATAAAAACACGGCTGAACTCTTTTGAGCCATAAGCTATTGCTGTGCTGTGTGATTATAATGCCATTTTAACCAACACATAAAGGTAGTTTCAGTGGTATGTGGTAAAATTGCAATGATTTAAAGTATTGGCTTATTATTTTATATATTTAAAGGAAGTGGACGTATTGAACAAGTCTTTGGAAGAATTTTCAAGACTGGCATGATGTATTTGAGTAATGCCCAGACATTAGTGGCACTATTGATGAGAGTACAAGTATGGCCATATTTCAAACCCATATTGTATCTATTATCTGGAGTAAAGATGGCTGAATGTTTTGGCAGCTAGGTCAACTTTATTTGCAGCTGGGGTAACTTTATTATGGGAAATGAAACATGATTGAAGCCAACTTTCACACCCACGGAATCAGCCAATCAGAGGTAACTGGAGAGACCGGAAGTCTTCTTGAGACATAACAAACACATAGTGGAATAAGTAGATAATATTTATTAGTGTATTTACTGTCTTTAAACGTAAAAAATATTTAGCAAAACTATAATTTAATACACATTTAGGAAATATTAAAAAATACGATTTCGTTACACTTAAAAGGGGATGTCTTTGTATCATTGCGTGATGACGTAGAATATGTTTTGACGTTGAGTCCACTGCGTTGTGAACCAGGGTTAATCAAGGAAAGCTTGGAAAAGGGCTATTTACACCACACAGCACAGGTAATTACCGATTTTATGGCTGTCATGGTTGTTTAATTTCTTAATAAAATCATAAAGTGACCGTATTATACCTTTTGGGAGGAGCCTTCTTAAACTTTACCCACTCGGGCTGAAGTTAGCAGTTAGCTTTCTCTAGCAGGTGTCATTAGCTTGTAGCTACCGTCAAGTTACCTAAGAGCTCAATAGGTTAGCTAAAATAGCTTAGCTTGGCTTCACGCCTAACTGAGAAGGCTTTCATTTTTTGTATGCCGTGATTATTCTTTATTTTTTACAAACAGACTCACATGTATAAACCCATTGCTGCTAATTTAGGTGTAGCTTTCACTCACCGAGGTCACGGTAATACAAGCAGCTCGACCTACTTTCCAAGAAACAAGAAGCAAAGTTAAGATGCCTTTTTTTCAAGCTTTTTCAACTCAAGGAAAGCTAAAGTTGAATTGTTCACCTATAATCGCACTTCCTGTCAGCTCAGTGATGTACGATTGTATATAAAAAAGTGAATGTACTTAATAAATGGGGGATCTTCCACAGACTATCTCCCACTATGGCATTAAGAAGCGCTGTCTACCGGCTCCTTGTGAACCCACACAGATGTGCCCTGATCTCAGCATCCAGATCACAGGGAACTGCAGCACCTGCCAGATATGGTCAGTGACACTGTAACACCAGCCTCTTAAGTGGAATTGGTTGAAAGGGATGTCTTTCCATCTGTACAGCATCCGGCTAGCACATGGTGTATGGTTGTTTTAATGGTATCATCAGCACTGCTGCATGGTTCAGCATGCCAACATACAATTACACAGGGAGAAATGCCTCATAATTCTTCCGAAATTTGCTCATGGATCTCTCAATAACAGTACAGCAAGTATCTGCAAACGGTTCTGTTTTTAGTCTTAAAATCAGACTCCGTTTTTCTGTAAAGGTGTTTTGATTTTCTTTTAAAATGCAAGTCAAATCTGCCATTTAGCAAAAAAATATATATATTTATGATAGAAACTAGTCCATTTAATGTATAATGTACACATTGAACTAAATCAGTCCTCAGTTAAAATACACTTTGAAAATGATTTTTTTTTTTTAGAAGCTGAGTGCCTGTTTTTGCTGTTTCCAGAATTTAATTGTTGCATTTTCAATAAGGGGGACCTTTGGCCCTGTAACCATGCTTTTTCCCCCTCAGAGAACTCCGATGTCTCTGTGCCGAGTTAATAAATGGCTCCCTGTTGCGTAATGGAAGTCTCAGGTTATATTTCTGTCTGTAGCATGGTCAGTGCCAGTTGTTTTCCATGATACTCCTGAGCACATGACACCACAGTGACCATGGTGGCATTAAGTCCTCATTCAGTGCCACTTGTTTCTGCCCTGAGACTTTCTCTAACTCTTTATCCTTTCACTTTGCTTTGCTTGTCAAAGTTTTTCTCTCTTTTTTTGAGAAATATCACAAGCTGTGGTCCATCCTTTTCTTAGAAAAATGTTCTGCCTTTGTTTGGTGGATTTGATGCCACAAAAGAGGAGAGGAGGAACATTTATCACAGCATCCAATTTTGGGTGGAAAAACTCAACAAATGAGTTATTTTTTAAAAAGGCATCTAAAAATCATTTTGCTGTTCTTGAAAATTAAAAGCGGTCATTTTCACAAATTACCACTTTTCAAGAAAATGAGGTTTGAGCAGTTTTAGAAAAATCTGAAAGCTGCTGTCTTCTTTTCAGATGTTTAACTGTAACATTCTGTGCTTTATATTTCTCTTTTCTCTTTCCTTAATAATAGATGCAGAGAAGCCCGAACAGAAGCCTAAAGCACGTAAGGGATCCCAACCACCTAATAATTTAAATATGACACAACAACTTGCCTAAATACAGGAACCCCCCCCACCCCACCACCCTTAAAGGTTTAAAAATCTTATATTACTCTTTCTTTAAACGTCCATCAGCGAAGCTGGTGTTTGACTGGCGTGACGCCCTGGACCTGGAGGGTCAGCTGACGGAGGAGGAGATCATGATCAGGGATTCCTTCCGGACCTACTGCCAGGAGAAGCTGATGCCCCGCGTCCTGATGGCAAACAGAAACGAAGGTGACCAACGGTTTCTCTGCACGCGTTCAGGTGGAAATACAGAAAGGCTTTTTTTTATGGCCACCTTATAGCTTGTTGTGTCTTCCCTGTTGTCAGTGTTCCACAGAGAGATTGTGTCGGAGATGGGAGAGATGGGGGTCCTGGGCCCAACTATCAAAGGTCAGTTGTTGCTTGTATATTGAACTTTTACTTTTTTAAAAGACAAGGGACATAAAGTGAACCAGGTCCCTCTGTTGTGTGGCTGTTCCGAAATCCCCTGCATACGTGAATGACTCCCCTCCGTGTGTGTTAAGGCTTCGGCTGCGCCGGGACAAGCTACGTGGCTTACGGTTTGATTGCCAGAGAAGTGGAGAGAGTGGACAGCGGGTACCGCTCGGTCATGTCGGTGCAGTCCTCGCTGGTCATGCATCCCATCAATGCCTACGGCACCGAGGAGCAGAAGCAGAAGTACCTCCCAAAGCTGGGTCAGAACACAGTTTTTCTCCGGATTCTCTCGAATTGACGGTCTAAATAATACAAAGTTGAGCCACGAGGCGTGTTTCTTTCAGTGAGATTTTCCCCATTATTGTCTCGTTTAGCTCGCGGCGAGATCCTGGGCTGCTTCGGCCTGACCGAGCCCAACCACGGCAGCGATCCCAGCAGCATGGAAACCCGAGCCCGATACAACCCGTCCAGTCGCACCTACTCCATCACCGGCTCTAAAACATGGTGAGCAGCGTTCAGAGCGGGGACACGGCGTCCGACAGGCCGAGTGGCACCAGTTCGGTTTAAATATTTTGTCTTGAGCTTGTGTTTTATTGACCCTAACCTGATCTGTAATAAGGAATTATTCTCTACATGTTTAGTTTTGGTGTCTCCCCTTCAAGCTTTTCAAAAACTCCACTTGGAGTTTCAGTTTTTGGGGCATATGTAAGCAGAAAACTGCAACCCATCCTGATGCTCTGGGCTGTTTTCTGCTTTGGGTAACGGCTCATGATGGCGGCTGTCCACATGGTGGAGCTCTCCTCTGCAGCAGTGCTTTGTTTAACGTGTGTTACTCAGATCACAACTGATGTTTTGGGGGTTTTCCATCTAATTTGCCATTTTTCTTAACAGATCGACTCATTTTCGAACTAGTAGGATCGAAGCAGGCGGAGGCGGGGTGGGGGTCTGTGCTGTGCTGCCCGTTGACCGTGAAGGAGAGTTACTCGCTGTCTTATTTACCTCTGCTGCTAACTTTAGGATCACCAACTCCCCGGTGGCGGACATCGCCGTGGTCTGGGCTAAATGCGACGACGGGAAGGTCCGTGGCTTCATCTTGGAGCGCGGCATGAAGGGCTTCTCCACGCCCAAGATCGAGGGGAAGTTCTCCCTGAGGGCGTCGGCCACCGGAATGATCCTCATGGATGAGGTGGAGGTCCCAGAGGAGAACCTGCTGCCTAAAGTCTCCGGCCTGGCGGTGAGCAGAGGGCTTTCTTTCCAGAGGGGTTCTTTGTGGATTTGTTCAGCTGGAGCGATGGTTCAATCCCGAACAACCGGTTTTGGTTCTCCGACTTTCTTTTGGGATCACTCTGAGGTTTAATGTGTGTTTCCCTTGCCTCCAGGGTCCCTTTGGCTGCTTGAACAACGCCCGATATGGTATCGCCTGGGGGGCTTTGGGCGCCGCCGAGTTCTGCTTCCACGCGGCCCGCCAGTACACACTGGACAGGTCAGGAGGCACAAGAGGGAGGGGGAAAAAAATTAAAAAAGCAAAACTGGAGATATTTACTTCCAGCTTAGATGCTGTCCCGTCGCCCTCGTCATTGTGGAGGCTAAATCTATCGTTCTGTTCTTTCAGAATTCAGTTCGGCGTGCCTCTGGCGAGGAATCAGCTGATGCAGAAGAAGATGGCCGACATGCTGACCGAGATCAGCATCGGGCTGCAGTCCTGCCTGCAGCTGGGCAGACTCATCGACGAGAAAAAGTAAGAAGAACTTCGCTTTTTGTTAGGCCAGGATGCCTTTCCCGGCACCTTTTTTTAAAATTTGTGTGTGTGTGTTTACGCATCTCCGTCCACAGAGCGGCCCCGGAGATGATCTCCCTGCTGAAGAGGAACAGCTGCGGTAAAGCTCTGGACATCGCCCGGCAGGCCAGAGACATGCTGGGGGGCAACGGCATCTCCGACGAGTACCACATCATTCGCCACGTCATGAACCTGGAGGCGGTCAACACGTACGAAGGTGAGGAGGCCAAAGGGTCCCACCCCCCCCCCCCCCACACCCAGGGAGACACACGTTTCCCCCCTTCTAACCCCAGCCCCCCCCCCCCCCTCAGGCACCCACGATATCCACGCTCTGATCCTGGGCAGAGCCATCACAGGCCTGCAGTCCTTCACCGTGGGGAAATAAATCCAGCCGTCCCAACACACAAGCCTGAAGAAACCCTTTTAAAGCGACAGCCGGCATTTCCCTCTCAGGCTTGTTCAACAAACCCCAACACACATTTTACGGCTTTGGTTAAACAGAAACGCGCATTTTGAGATTCCGCCGATTCCGCTGAACTTTTGAGCTGATGTGAGCGTTCAATAATTTGGAGTCAGTTTTTTCAACTCGCAGAGGGCTATTTTTCCACTTCAACAGACGGTTGGTTTTCGATTTCTCCCTGAACAGACTGTAATTTGTTCACTGTGGTGAAGACATATGAAAAGAGGATGAAAGATGTAGATTTGTGGCAGTATCCGCCGTCAATACTGAAGTTATGTAAGACAGCATATGTAACTGATTTTGAGGCTTTCTATCAGCAGTATTTTGAGTGTTTAGTTAGTTTCAGAGATAATCTTACAGTTACATCTGTCAAGTATGTGGTGGTTACTACTTCCTGCACTTTACAAGCTCTAACACTAAGATGTTACGACTCTGCTTGAGGTCATAAATGTTGATCGGACACATGAATGAATAAAAATAAAGAGAATCGCCCGTGTCTGCAAGAGAATTGTGTTCAGATCAAATGTCATCTGCATCCAACTAGATTCTTCTGAGGTATTTTATTAATAATGGAGGTCTGAGAGAAATCACACAGGCCAGATGTTTCTGACTTGTTACTGTAACAAAAAGAAACGGAGGAAAAAAAAGCTGATCCTCCAAAATCCTTGCAGGTTATTTCAGGCTGTGTCACACATATGGTCGGCCTTTAATCTACCCCTCATTCCTTTTCTAATGTTATTTGAAAGGAATGAACCCATAGCGAACCCAAGGGGTTCTCTGGGTTCTTTTTCCATTTTATTAACATACCTATTAGTTTAAAAATAACAAAGAGCAAATAATCGATTGTCTATTGTATCTTTAAATACTGTGTAACTGATAGTTTTGTTTTGTTCCATTTTTTTCTCAAAGAGCTTTAACTTGAAAGACTACAGACGTCAGGGTGGTATACAGTGATTTCCTTAAACTAAACAAGGGACTGGCCATCTTTGTTCCTGCCCTCCCCTATGGACATAGGATTCAGGTAATGACCATACGAATACGTTTTTTTTTTACCATTTATATTTGGAATATGTTTCAGTAACTCGCAGCAAAGAACAGGCCAATAAGATACAAGACATATCAGTCAAAGAGATCATTTTCAAGTTCCCTAAGAAAACAAACAAACAAACAAAAAAGCAATTTTAAAAGCAGGAGCATGTATTTTCTGATTTCTGCCAGACACACGCTCTCTCATTTGGACATCACTTCCTATCTGGGACAAACGGGGAGGAGTGAGCTCTGCACAATGTTCTCAGTGCCGAGCAGATTATCTCTTTGTTGCCTTTTTCTCTCCCTCTTTAAATCCATCAAGGTATGATGGAAAGTGGAAAGGGGGGGGGTGGTGGCAACCGCTGGACAGATAAAGTCCTCCATCCTCTTCATCCTGATTGCATGTGTGACGCTGCCACGTTGAAGTGAAGGGAATTAAAGAGCAGCAAATCCCTGACCGGTACACGGCGCTCAGACATGGTCCGCTTATGTAAGAAAATTGCTTCTTCTTTTTTTTCTTTTTTTGGGGACTAATGGTCTTTAATCTTTTGGGTATGTGGACTTTGGACTCAGTGAAAAATCGCACCCCAAAATGGAGGCTGTCCACTCAATCCTCTCTGTAAGAGATGATGGAGACTGAAATGATGGCTGTAGCATAAAATACACTGAACTGTGAAGATTGAAGAAAAAAAGAAGCAATGTATCCCTCTCTCTTTCATCTAAATGTATCCAAACACTTGACTCTTAGATAATTAGGCTGCTTCTTGGCCAAAGCAATCATATGGATTATGAACTTCAAACCCCGTCCGAATGAATCCTCCTCCTCCAAATCCGCATCGGAACATGCATTTGGGATCATTTTGGATCAAACATGCTAATTCTTTTACCAAACCAAAACACGGGATTATGATTCATGATTGGGGATTTGTGGATATGAGCAGCCCCGCCACTGCACAGCGGGTTAAAGCACATCTGTAGTTTAAATTAAGGGCTTAAGGCCCGTAAGCCTCCATGATCCTGAATACGATGGCTGCATGATCCATTTCGCTCCCCCTGATCAGGTGGAGTTCACGCTCGGCAGGTGAGGAGAAGCAAACTGGGCGGAGTTGGGAGCGTGAAGGTGTCTTCCAGTGGCTAAATCCTGTCAGTGTGACGCACCGACACGAGATTGTGACGACTGTGAAGCAGGCCAAATTCTGCTTGAACAGTTTGAATGGGGATGATGTGATGTTTCCAAATGCATCGGAGGAAAATGAATTAAGAAGACTTTCAAGGTTCTACCTTACCATGGTTTGAACATGAACTCTAAATGAGTGGACGTGTGCAAACTTCTGACCGGTGATGCTTTTCAGAGGGGACGCCCAGACTCAGATTTATTTATTTTTTAATGTTGGGGGCAACATGTAACGTGCCGAAAAAAAACTGAATTAATTGCCTTTCAACAGACGATTCTGAGATATTTCTTGCTTTGTCACATAAACTATATCAAAGATTTGGACCTGCTTTTCCACACATTTGAAAAGACCTCAACTTCCTGTTTTAGGCCTAAAGACCATTTAAAGGAAGTTGATAGGGGTGTGTAGTTCAGGGGTTAGTAATTGGTGTGAACAAATAAAAAGAAAAGTGCCACTTCAAACTTTAAAGTGCAGCCAAGAACCCCTCAGCTTGACTTCTGCTACACACAAAACATTTAGTGTTGTTTTCACGAGCCAAAAATAAGATGAAATTAAACATTAAACGAAAGCAAAGATAATCAGGTATCAAAAATTTCTTCATTAATACGTGTGTATTTTTCCTTTCGGTGCCCGCGTTGCTGTAAGTAAAGTTGTAGGACCAGGTTCAACCTTTGGGCCAAAGAAAATTGCCTTTTTCCAGCGTCTGAAACGTCTGCCTCCCGGCTCGGTGGGGGGAAGAATTAGCTCGGGATGAGGCGGGTAAGAGGGAGCAGAGGCTGGAGGGCGACCGGTCCAAAGTGGGCGGACCTGACCGTTTAAACAGCAGGCGGAGCGCGCGCTCTCGCTCCACATCTCAGTACGGCGCGAGGCAGCAGCGCGTGCCGCACGCACCCGGGTCCGAACCAGCAGCCGAGCAACGAGCACAGCTGGCGTGGAAAGAATAATTAGCAAAGCAACGGTAGGGAAAGGGGAATTATTAGTCTTTAAAGGCTTTTCCCATATGTTTTAAAAGACTTTTAACATTTTTTTAATCGAGTTTCTCTTATTTTTCGGGAAGAATTCGGACTTTTGCGGTTCTCTGTGAGGAATATCGACTCAGTCCCGCGTAAGGAAGATGCTCAACGCATAACTGACCGGAAGGGAAGCCCGCGGCAGCCTCTGTCCGCCGTCACGATGAACGGCTACAACCTCACCGGCCTGACCACCACTCATGAGGCCAACGCCTACCCGTTCCCGGGCTCCATCGACGACGACCCCCTGTACAAGCAGTACAAGCCCGCCGTCAAGGAGCTCATCCCCCTGCCCAAGGGAGTGCTCTACCTGATCATGGCCGCCCTGGTGGTCGTCGGAGTTGCCTACGCTATTGTCGGACATCTCATCAAGGACCTGGCCATTGACATAGCAGGTTGGAGATTCAGATTCAGTTTGACAGGTCTTCTCCAATTCAGGGCTGCTGTCATAAAGTTGAACACAACTGGAACACACCAGAGTACCACACCGACAATTAAGGGACAATTATTACACTTTTTTTTTTGTTGTTGCAACTTTTCATCAACAGCACCAGTTGAGGCTCTCAAAACATGTTAAGGCCCATTGCTCTTTGGGGATTTCTCAAAGGTGTTTCTATAGTTTTTCTAATGTCAGTACGGACCTTTTTAATGCACGTTTTAGTTGCATGTTTTCCCAAAGTTACGTAAAGTTCTCATTAGGTGGTTTATAACATCCCATAACTTTTGCATTCCATTACGACATCAATGTTGACCCTCCTAAACAACATTTAATGGTCACTCTAATCTTCAGGACGTCAACAAACATTCCCTGCTTAACGCAAACCTGTTTAATTCCACATACGCTACAACGTTGCTGTATATTTTGCTAATATGTCACCGTTTGCCTCGTTCAGAATGCGTTCTGGGCCCGACCGGCGATGAGGAAAAGAGCCCGGACACCGACCCGCAGCGCATGACTTTCAGCCACCCCCCCTCGGCGCACCCCTTCGGCCACAACGCCTTCCACGTGTGGGACCAGGACGACGTGATCATCCCCCTGTCCCGGGACCAGAGCCCCCAGGGCAGCCCGCTGCTGCTGGCCGCCATCCCCTACATCCCCTCCTTCTTCCCGCACGCGCACGGCCCCATGGAGCACGCCCCCCAAGAACTGCCGGGGAGCCCCAAGGAGATCTGCATCCCCAGGGACATCTGATGAGTGGAACCCCCCCCGGGTGCGTAACTAAAAGAAACTGAACAGGCTCTGCTTCGCTGGGGATTTGTCAGTTTTACACACAAAAACAAACTCAGATAAAGGCGTGGAGCAGAGGCTGTGCCCCACAGAAGGGCTTCACGTGACCCACCCTCCTTCTTGTCGGATAAAATAAAGCTTTTCTTTTCCTCTAGCACAGGTAGCTTTCATTCAGAGGAGCTACTGTAAGTTTAGTTTGTTTATCCTGCCGTTTGACCGGTTGTCCATCTGCTCGGCCATCATAATCCAATTGTTTAGCAAAAGATTAGCTTGCAAAGTCAGCTCAGAGATTTACAACTTTCTTAGCGGACCTGCTGGTGAAAGTTGTCTCACATTTGCTTTGCCGTCAGCCCTGTTTACAACGTTTTTCGCAGCAGCCGGCCTTCTCAGGCAGTTCTAGAAAAAATGTTATTTCGAGACATAGAAGGATTAGAATAAGACGAAGACTTAAAGAGTCCAACAGTTCAACCTGTCCACACACAGGAGATGCCTTAATCTTTAATGCAGGTGTCACAAACAGCCATGGATTGACCCGTCTGACCCGCAGATTCAAACAATGAAGCTTATGGCACCAAAGCACAGGAGGCACGCTGGGAGGGTTAATCGCTCATCGCGTACCATCTGCAGCCTTCATTCACTCAGAGAACATCTACGGTCCCAGCTGAGGGTCAAAGCTGCAGTTTGACCACTTTCATGATCATGAAACTGTGACTTAAAATGACTGAAAGGCCCAAAACCCCCCAATATTACACCTAAAAATAAAAAAAAATGTTCAAAATATATATTGACCGTGACTTGACCTGATAAGTATGAGTTAAAGTCCTTGTCCTCCAACGTGATCAGATTAGCATGCCCGCAGGTTTCTGGAATAAATTCCTAAATACCTCACCAAAATTATTTTAAAAGGTTATTGAAGGAGGACTCATTTCTGTGGCTAATACATATTTTAAAGAATTACTTCATAGAAGAGTTTAGTAGTTTGACTAACGTTGAGTTCTTCACCCGTTTTCCGTGTTATATGATCAGCTAATGCAGTAAGAGCTTAACCAGGTAATCAAGGGCTGAAATTTCATGAGAAAGGGGGGGAATAAAAGATAAGGGTCACTAGGAAAATGAGACTGTTTTTAGATGGCCCTATAAAATATATGTAAACAAGAAGACAAAAAACAAACAAGCCTGCGTTCTGGGACTTAAGATACCTATTTAAAGAATAAGGATGGGCTAGTCCTCATTTATGTAGACAAAGAAGCTCAAAGGTCAGATGTAATCCCCCATTCCTGGAAGCTCATCCAAATGCGTCTGACTTCACAAAACACCCAACTGTGCGAATACCTGTAAATAGTTCAGTAATCGCTATCTCAACATGTGCACAGTCTTGAGATATGAGAAAAACAAAATAAATCAAGCCATATTGAAAGCTTGAAAAACAGGTTTTTATTTCCGTTTGTCATGATGCAAAAAGTAGCATCCCCCTCCCACACAAGATAAATGTTCGGGGGTGACGGGGGACAAAAAAAAACTAAACAAAAAAGCTGTCAAGTGTTAGTCTGTTTTGAATGGCAGCTGAGTTCAGAACAACTCTTTTAGGAGATGAAGCCCTTTGCTGAATGCTCTGAGATCTGTCTGAGGAGCAGGACACTGAAACCTACGCTGGCTAAAGCTGACCGAGCTTTGACTGAGGGCAGCCAGAGGGTGGGGGGTCTCCTTGATCTCCTGAAAATGTTGCCAGGATAAATTAAAAAATGGGTCCTTTGGAAAATACCAAACAGGAGTTGGGTGAAACTCAGGAGTCCAGTCGGCATATGGGGCTGTCGTAGACCATCTGCAGGTTGACTTTGTGTCCCACCAGCTCCCGGATGTTGTTGATGCCATACTTGATCATGGTGGGCCTGCGGGTCAGAGGACAAGCAGCAGTTAACGGCTGGTTCTGCCTGGGTTTGTTACAGAGGCTGCAATGTGGAACACATTCATACACGGGTACAGTGTCTGGATCCAGATATGTTAAAACAAATAATCAAAAACTGAAAAAACAAAAAAAATTCTAATGTAATCAGTTCAGTTTTTAGGCCTGATCTGTAAACTGAGAACTGTATGATGCAATGAAGTTGCACCTAACTGCAGTCATATTAAATGAATATTCATAACTGTTTTAAGTCAATCTTCTGCAGAGATGCCTTTTATGCCCTGTAAGACGATTTTCGCCTTAAGCTTTCAGCTGTAACCCTGAAGGTGTTAAATGGCCCTGGAAGAGCTCATAAGGCCCCCGGCTGTAAAGCCTTCAGCCACGCACTGGCCGTTTGGACGCTGACCTCCCAGGCAACTTCTAGGAACGGTCAACGGATTTTTCCAAGAACGCTCAGGACGGAGACGATAATTTGACACCTTGAGATGCACCGGGCGCACATTCAACTTAACCCAGAGTTTGTAGGATGGGGGGGGGGGGGGGTTATGTCGCTAATGCAAAAATCCTGCTTACTAAAACAGTTCTCAGGTCAGAGTTGGAACAACAGAGGGCTGAATGATGCAGAAAGGATTACTCTGCGTGGCTTATCACAGCCTGCCTCAGCTCCTTTGATCTGCTGTCATTAGGACTGAGTTTTCTCTCGTTAGAAGCCTCAAACGGCTAGCGGTGTGCAGTTAGCCTCAGAATCACCCGCACATGACCCCGTAAACGGAGATTTACAAAACAGGGAGGTCAATGGAATTTATACACCGTTCAGCACCTTTAGAGCACTACAACGAGATTGTGATGAGATAAACAAAATATATATATTTTTTAAAAAGGCGACCGAGTATACGGAGGTACACTGGCTCTTACAATATTATTCAAATACATAGAGAAAAGAACAAGCAGACAAACAGGAATAATCCCCCTGAGGCGGCAGACCTTAATATCTGAAATGGGGGTCAGATGTGAGCCGTGGACAGAATGAGCTCCACACCTTTAATCCCTGGACGGGAACTCTTACGTAGCTCCCACAGACGGATGAACGTGCCCCTGTTTTCTAACCCCAGCATGTTGTCAAACCGAGCCGACAGCAGACTCCGTTGTGGGGACAGACAATATGTGTGTGTGTGTGTGTGTGTGTAAGGTTGGGGGGGGGGACAGCTGCTGTGCTCTCACCTCTCCAGGGACAAGCCCCAGGCGATGACCGACACATCTTCGGGGAGTCCCATGGGCAGCAGCATCTCCGGTCGGAAGACCCCGGAGTTTCCCACCTCCACCCACTTTTTTAGTCCTGCACGCACAGAAAAAACAACAAATAAATAAAACCTAAAAAAGAGATGCAAACTGAAGCCAGAGACAGGAGCTGCCCTTAACGGCACGGCCAAAAGAAAAAACAGGAAACACGGTTTTTTAAAGGACAAATTTTTTTTTTTTTTTTGGATATTTGTTTTTTTTATTTGAAATGCATTAACAAATATAAATGAACCTGCTCTCCATCATTGCTATAGATCTTTCAGCAATAAAAACTTTTCCAAGTGCCGCTTCAATAAATATAATTTTTTTTATACTTTTTCAGTCTTGACCAATCGGCATCAGTTAGGTGAACATCCTACTTTGCAGGGGCAGTTTTAACTATAAAAGTAGGCCATAAAATAGACCCGATATGTCTCTGATATGCTACAGGACTACCTTCGCATCGAAAAAAAATAAAATAATTGCCCATAATCCAGTATGGCCGCTTTCAAGATGGCAGCCATCACCCACGGGCTGCGGTATTCAGATACATAATTTTACCTTTTGTTTCTTGGACTCATTCTGTACATTGAGTTTTTCCGTATGGGAAAAAAAAAAAAAGTCTTAAAAGAATTAAGGTAAAAGTGATAATCCATTGAGATTACCTGACGTAATAGGAATACCTTAAGCTTTAGCTAATAATTCAACAAACCTGACAGAGCTGTAATAAACAGTAAAAACTAGAAATTTTACTTTTAAAAAAAAAAAACAAAAAAAAAAAAGGCTTCACTTTGTTGGTTAAAACCGAATAAAGCAGTTCCACAACCTTCATGGTAGCTGAACACCTCCATGCTGGGCTCCGTGTACGGGTTGTAGGCGGGCTTGAAGCGCAGTTTGGTAATTCCTGGAGACAAGATGGGGAACGTTTGTGATTCAGGCATACCGGTGGCAGGATAAGGCTGCCCAGTCCGGTCCTTTTCAAGCCATCAACCCCCCCGCTCGGGGGGGCTCTGCCGGTCCTGACCCAGTTTGGTGAAGAACTGATGCAGGACGCCCATGAGGTCCCCCAGCGTCAGCCCGTAGTCCGCCACCACGCCCTCGATCTGGTGGAACTCCGCCAAGTGGGTGGCGTCCAGGGTCTCGTTCCTGAACACCCGGTCAATGGAGAAGTACTTAACGGGGGTGAACTTCTCCTGATTTGACATGTGAGCAACGAGAAAAAGAAAAAAGTCAATGTTGGTTTCATGTAGTTTGCAGCCACTTGGCAGATAATTCCCCCATTTTTCAGACACAGAAACCCTCGGTGGCGTGCAGCCAAGGCAGCTTTTGACTAGCTTTCATATTTCAAGCCAAAGAAAAAAAGACTTACTCCTCATATGTGAGGGCTAAAAGGCTAATTTGAGCACGGGAATCTGCCCGCAAACGTCAAACGCTGAGCCTAGAGTGAGTGGAGAGCCGTCACCTGCTGGGCTAGCTTGTAGAGCATGCGCGCGCTGACCGCCGTGGTGTGGGTGCGCAGGAGGTTCTTCTGCGCCTCCTCCAGCTTCCAGTCGTATTTGTACCTGAGACGGGAACAGGGGGTCATTTCTGTGGCAGGGAGACCACAGCTGTCCAAGCTGGGGAGGAAACAAAAAAAAAAAAACATCGAGCCTCACCCTTGTGAGCCGTAGCCTCCTTCTGAGTGGACCCTCCTCACCCTCTCCAGGTAGTCTGCTGGGAACTTGTGAGACAGCGCCGGGTCTGAAACGGGACGTTTGTTGAGCCACAGTTCACAAACGACTGGGAAAAAAAAAAAAAAAAACTAAAGGCCGCTGGGCGGCTGGGCTGACCGGACAGGAAGAAGGTGTCGTGCTGGTCCCGGGCCGGGTGCTGCTGGGGCTGGAACAGGGAGTCAAAGTTCCAGAAGGAGCTCTCGATGAAGTTGTTGGTGGGCATCTCGGTGAAGCTGCGGAGGGGAACACAGTTCAAATGGGGGCTACGTCCTCTCCAGGCCAAGGTGGTCCCCCCCCGCCTCCCCCCTCCGGCCACTCACCCCATCTCCAGGAAGATCTGCCTGAACTGCGTGCGCACCTTCATGAGCGGATGCAGGTGGCCGCAGTCCGGGGCCACGCCCAGGGCCTCGAAGTTGTAGGGTTTGAACTTCTTCTCCTTCCAGCTGCCTCTGCAAAACACAATTTCCCCACATTAAAAAAAAAAATTCGGCCATAGACCGGTCACACGGCGGGCGAGCCGAAGCGCCGTCCACTTGGATTTTGGGACGTGGGAACATCTGGAAGCTGCTTTTAGGCAAATCCTCCCTATGATAAGCCCTCGTGCAGACCAGGGGCCAGCACTTTTTTTTTTTTTTTTTTTAAAGCCCAACTTTTGTTATGAAAACACTATAATGTGGATTATGAGTCTGTTATTTATCCATCCATTTTTACATGTTTAGATGGACGAGTAGGTCTTAATTTCACTTGTCCTGCTCTGCCTTTAGGACAATGTCCACCTCTTTGGACCGGTCCCCAATTGTGGGCAGATGTTTCTCTGTGTCCTTAGTCTGCGACCCCGCACACCGTCACTGTCGGACGGGAGGGGTCAGACGGGACACGTGTTCGGTCAACAGCTGTTCCAGACGGATGGATTCAGGAACCAGAGGGACGGGACTCACGTGGCGATCATCTCAGGGGTGAGCTCCGTCTCCTGTTTGGACACAGTGGTGCTGAAACAGCTGCCCCTGGTAATCCAGTAAGACTTGACTGTCCTATTAAAAAAATAAAATGGAAAAACAATGATGTTTAAATTATTTCAGAAGAATAAAGCAGTGTGGGATACAGTATTGTCCGTTATGCCAAACGGCTACACAACTTTATAAACTTTTTCAGCCACTTTGAAATAGAAATTTTCCATTTTTCTTTATAAAATATGACAAAATGAGGTGAGGATTCTGTGGAGTTCAAATGTAATTGGATCTCATGCGTCTATTGAATGTGCAAGCAGAAAAGTCCCCCGCCCCCAACAGTGAATTTTCCCGATGTGACTGTGGAAGATTTTCTGATGGGAAATGACCGTCTCTGAGGAGAGGACATTTTGTTAGATCATCTCTGTACATCTGCAGTTTGGCAAAACGGTTCCCAGAGTAAGAGGATTGTGGGAGGAAACATGATTTGGGTCTGAATCCAAAGTGTATTTTAGTGATCCGACGCCAAAAATCCAGATGTTTCCATCCTTTTTAAGACGGAATGTTTGCTCTCCAGAGGCACGGAGCCTCGTCGGGTGAAAGATGAGACAAACTCCTCAGCTGCCCTCGGAGTTAGCGGGATTTCACGGCTTTTGAACTTCACGTAGAGGAAACTGGATTAAATTTGTGTCCAAAACTGAGGAATAAAATCCAAGCCATCCTCCAGTTGCTGCTGTGTGTGGAGTGCATTTGGGGCCAGGGCAGAGGGTGTGTTGTTCACCATGTCCTCCTCTGACACCAACTGGCACGAATATTCCCTCAGATGCTTTTTTAACCCAAAATCAATCCTAGTAATGTTCAAAGTTCTTAGAAATGCAAACATGGAAAAGGGATAAATGATTTTGTTTTTGCCGACCGTAGGAACTCAATATATCAAATGTTTAGCTTTACCATCTGTGGGACAGTGAAACTTTTTGCCTCTTTAACACCACTTAAAAAATTTAAAAAAGCCTGTTCAGCACAACAGCACAAGAGTTTTTACTCCATTGCAAAATAAAATCACCCTGGTGTCAACATCTTTTTGCATTGTGTTGTAAGCTTGAAATACACAAATGTATCTTTACCAAGTAGTTGACAGGAAAGAAATTGTATACAAATATAAATTGAAATCCTGCTTTCAGCAATTGATTAAAAGTCAAATCAATATGTTTTTCCCCACACAAAATTGCTATAAGTTTTCATGATTCAAGGCTGAGCTTAACCACCAAATGCTGCATTCTAGCATCAATCGCTTCTTCACTAATCATTTACCCAATATGTATCTGAAATGGAATAGCTCTGCCTCACCTGTTTTAGTTCTGATGCTTTTATGGACCTACATGACTAACCCCTTCATGTGGGCTTAAAGGCCCGGAAAAAAGATCCTCATTTAATTTCACTCAACTAATCATACGTGCTTATAGTGGTCAGAAAGTTCCTGTGTTTTGGGCCTTGTGATTTGTTTGGGGCTCCTTTTGGCACATCTGGTTGCTGCTGCCACCTACTGGAGGAAGAAAAGGAAAAAAAAAAGGTTGCAAAGCTTACACTTCAGACAGCAGCTTCCTCTTCTTCAGCTCGTTCTTCTCCTTCTCCTCCACCTGGGAGGAGTCGCCTCTCTGCACCAGGAGCAGCTTCTCTCTGACCTGGTCCTGTATGCTCTCCACCTGGGGGGGGGGCACAGGTAAAAAAAAACGTCTCAGTGAAAACGAGAATGTAAACCGCTAAAGGATACCAGCGGTGGATCTGTGGAAAAGGGCCCACGCACGGTTCGGAATATCCTGGGGCCTCCCTCGTGGGACTTGTCCACTCGGATCCACTTGTTGGACATGGCCTTGCTGAAGCCGATCTTCCCGAAGGAGAGTTTCTGCGAGGAGCAAACACAGAGTCAAACAATGACTTCACACGCAAACACTGCTACCCTCAAATGGTTTTGGAGCTGATCTGGGTTGAAACGGAACATTAACTCTGACTGAGCGTGTTTACAGGGAGGAGTTACTTCATTTCCAAATCAACAAGGCCCAGTCCCAATTCTCACTCAACCTGAGCTTTATGTATTTAGAGTAATTTAGTGGAAACCAGTACATTGTACCCGTAGTAAATCCAGCCAAGATAATGTCGATATTAACTCGTCTTCGGAAGGGGAAAAAAACAAAACAAAAAAAAAGGAAGAGTTCTCTGCTTTTTGGCTTAAACACTCGCAGCAGATTTAGCCCAATATTGGAACAACCAAACAGTAAGATGCATAACATTTAACTGGCTAAAGCTAAAATCAGCCGACTGGGGTTAGAGATGTGAAAGGGGCAGATTGATCCAATTACATGTTGTACAACTAGTTATAGTTTATCATGGATTTTGCCCTGCTTAGTTACATTATTCATAATTTTCTTCATTGATTTATCTACTGTTGAACCACAATTGATTTGGTTCAACCATAGATTTACATCAAGTCATTTTCATTGAGATTTTTTTCCCCATTCCATCACTACTTTTGTCATTTTGCCATCACTTACTTTCTGTGGGGTTTTGTTTTCTTTAATGTAAGGGTACAAGCCATTCTGGCAGGTGGGTATCTTCAGTCCGTACTAGAGTAAGCAGCTTAAAGAGACTTTTTTTTTTTACCCCTCCGGACACTCACCATCAGCTCACTCTGCGGCAGGCCCTCCCCCGGGATGGAGCCGAACACCCGGGCTTCATGGCTGCCCTGCTCCGCTGTCTCGGTGCCCTCCTCCGTCAGCTCCCAGTGCTTGGAGGAGCGGAGCTCGGCAGCTATTACCTGGACAGCAGGGAGAAGTGCAACCGCGAGTCGTTTTCATTTCGACTGCAGGTGACTAACTCATGTCCAGCTGTCCGCCGTTTAAACCCGAACTTATTGCGTCAGTCACACTAAACGTCCACTGTTGTGGGAGTCTTAACTTCCGCCCGACCCCGTAAGCCCGGGAAACTCACGTCGCCGAGCGCCTGCAGACTTTTGACGGCTCCGACGATGACCTGGTGGTCCACCCCGAGGCTGGCCGCCGCATTCAGGCTGTCCACGCCGTCGTCCGCCTTCTCTATTCGCTGCAGGAGCGCCTCCGCTACGCCGGTGTCCGCCATGCCGTAGACGTGCGAAGCCGTAAAGAGACCGGATGTGACGTCGCTTTCACACACACAAGCCGTACGTGTTCGAATAGCAAGAGTAAGAAAATTACCGTAAATTATGAATGTAAAGGGACTCAAAATGCGTTACTCTCCATTTACAGGGATTAACTTTACTTTAGACTGGTAAGACAATTCCAGTGCTTTTATAGACCACTCTCACCGAATCCAGGTCAGGGTGAGAGAAGACCCAAAAAATATATATATATATATATATTAAATATTTGTTTAAACCCCAACTCTGTAACATCAGAAAACAGAGGCCGATTTGGACACTTAAAGTCCATCATAAATGCAGCCCAAGATTTCACATTTAGTGAAGCTGGCTGAGGGGTTAATTCAATTGACATTTTAGCTTCTAAAACTGACTTTTAAAATATGTAAGTGGAGAACAAGGTATGTAAATGACTAAAACTTGAGCTTCATGCTTATAATTAGCAGCCAAAACTTGGGATTACTCAGTTGTGACTCACTCGGTTATGTAGACAAAAAGGTCATTGTAAATATACCTCATACTTGGGAGTCAAAACTATGAATTCAAAATAAAAAGTATTTATTTTTACAAACACACTTTGTTACACATTAACAGGAACATATCCCACCCAATCCTAAAGCTACACTGCGTGGAAATGTGGATTTCACCTCAGAGTGTGAGAAGGTTCCAGTAATCTTCAAAAACCAATGTTTAAAATAACTACATCACATAGGGTAAATTACAAAATAAGCCAAAATTACAAACATTGCAGAAAATAGCTGGTGAAATGAAAAAATCTTAACCACAGAAAAACAGCATGTTATTGGTTTCTCTATAAGAAAAGAAAGAAAAGTCTAAACCAGCAAATGAGTGATTTGATCAGTCTTCACATTTGGGGATGAGGACTGGGAGCAAAATAAAAACGCTACAGATAAAAAAAAATAAAAATAAGATAAAACAAAAAACTACTCAGCACTGACCAGACCACTGAAATGGACCATTAAATCGAACCAGTACTCATCCCCGACACTTTACGAGCCCGCAGACCTCATATTGTGCCAACATGTGCTACAGAGAAACCCAAAAGTACATAGGAAGCAAATATGGAAAAGGCAGAGAGAGAGAGCACAGGCAGGCCGTCCGTCACTTTCTTTGGAAAAAAAGCTAGAGACACTGATGCAGGACGTGCTGCGTGGTGCTGACGATTTGCACGGAGGGGAGAAAAACTGTCTATCTGTACTGGTAACCCATCCCTCCGTCTCCCCTGCCGTAGACGGGGTCGTGGTACGGAGACTGACTGGAGCCGAAGCCCTGGGTAGTGCTTCCATGCGAGCTGTAGTCGGACTGGTTGCTGAAACCTGTGAGGGACGAAAGGGAAAATTTAGGTCAGATGCGTTCGCGTACAACCTTTAACTCATTGGCTGCCAAAGACGTCTATAGACGTCTTTTATGTTTTTCAACGCGAGTGGTTTGGGGGACGATCGGCTAAAGTTTTTCCGTAAATATCAGGCTTCTAGACAGAGTATGTACTAACAAATTTACCCTCTAGGTGGCAGTGCCACTTTTGATGGGAGATGAGCATAGATTGTAGGCAAATAAAAAAAACACAATGGTTCGCTACGCGAGAAATGGCGCCGGTGAGACGCACGTCGAGGAAGAACGGAATAAGGTAGAAACACTTTTTTTTTCCTGATGAAAGAAGAGAGTTGACTCTTTCTTTTGGTGTGTTCGGTGTTTACATAGTCACAGCACAAACTGTTCTGTGGCTCTTGAAAAAATCAGTCAAAATGCTCAAAAAACTGGCAGTATGGGACTCTGTTCTGAAAATGGCTGGCAGTCAATGAGTTAATATTTGACATTTTTTATTACATAAACAATCAAATGTTCACACCTTCGTAACTGTAGTCCAGGTTGCTCCCAGTGCCTCCGGTCACCTGGCTTGGGTATGCGGTGCTGTATGAATAACTGTCGACACCCGCTTGGTTCTGGTTAAAATTCTTCTTGGCCTGTCCGTACTGGGTATACGTCCCCTGCCCGGAGGAGATGGGTGGATAGCCCCCGATAGGCCCCAGGTTTCCTCCGGGGGGACCTGGGAAGGCGATCTTCCCAGCTTTGTGCATGGGGAGCTTCTTTTTGGGGGGTTTGGGGATGGAAGGGGAGGCGTAGGCCCCGTCGCCCTGGTAATAGGAGACGTAGGGCAGCTGTGCTGATCCTGGTCCCGGGTTGGGGGGAGATATCCCCGACGGGCTGCTCAGTACCCCGGCTCCTCCGTTTGCCCCACCATTGTTGTAATAATCTAAAGAGAAAGAGCACGGCACATTTTACAAGTCTTGAAACAATACAAACACTTAAAAAACAACACTTAAGTACTTATGGCTTCAGTTTGTATGCTGCTAATAATCTTGTCATTCGGAAAAAAAAAGGAAATCTGTAGTGGCACAGTCACAAATGTCACATTTATTTAAAAAAAATATAAAAACAGCTAAAGCAACAAGTTTTCCATTGCTTAACGTACATCGTTTTTTCTGGAAGTGCAAACTTAAAGCCGACAGCCTGAATTCGTCCATGCCTACTTCTGTTAAAAGATGTGGAACCACAACAACTAAGTACCGTCACGGTAAGACCGTCATGCATTCAGTGTAGTTGAGATTTAACAGTGATGCTGATATGACACAAGAAAAATCGGATTTTACATCGACAATGAGTGGCCGTTAAAAACAAAACAAAGAACAAACAAACAAAAAACAGAAAAATATAAAGTCAGCTTGATCGTCACTGGAGGTAACAAGAAAAAAGGCAAACAGAGTGTCTCTGAAACTACGGAGTGTGGAGATTTTTTCTAGGTGTTCTCAAAGCGAACAGAGACAGAAACCATGCCGCTGTGGTCTCTCTGGTGATCCGAAAGGCAGCGTGCTGTCCGACTCCAACCGGCCTTTGCTTAATCGTGCTTATCAAACAAAGCCCAGTCCGTGCGGGGACCAATGAAGACATTCTGTTAATAGTCAGCCCCGCTAATTCAGGAGATGGTCTTCCCCCGACGCGTCTGGACATGACAAACGGAACGGGCATGATGGGACAGAGGGAGGCTGCCACTTTAGTCCCGGGGCTGTGGGTTTGACGGTGGAGGGAGCTTGTGATGCTGCTGGAACACTACAGAGTATTTTGTCCATTTTATTCCTCTCTATGGGTGTTTGATTTTGATTTTTTTTTTTTTAAAGACTTGGGGGAGATCTATGTCGCAAACTCGTGGTAGCCATAGCAGTCTGAGACAAAGTCACCTAAAGAGTGAGACAGGGCAGAGAAGGGGGGGAAAAAATATCAAAATTAGATTCTTCTTAATTAAAAAAAAAATTTTTTTTTTTTTTTCTGCCTCAAAAGAAAAAGAAGACGGCAGGCCAACAACACATTTGATCAGATTGTTTTTTTTAAACTGTGTTGGTCGTCTTTTAGATTTCTCTGCTCCTGTCACGCTCAGCTAGGTCACTCCTCAGAACAGGCTGCCAGTAGGAGGAAAGCGGTGCGCATAAGAGGGGGCTTTGTCAAAACCGAATCGGTCCTGTGGCTTAAAGCAGAGAAATGTAAAATCACTCCGGTGGGATTATCCCCAGACTCTGAAAACAAACTGCCACGCAGAGTCCTGGCACGACGCACCCCCCCCCTCACGATTCTGACCACAGCAGGGTTAGAGAACGGGACAGGAATACTTACTGTAGCCGGAGTTGGTGTTGTTCCCATAACCGTATGTTCCAAAGCCACCTAAAGGAGGTCACAGCATTAACACCCAGAACTGACACTTTCAGCCAAGTGGACTGAAGTCCCCCCACATTTGAGGGGGGGGGGCTTTATACCTCCTTGGCCGTAGCCTCCTCCGTTATTGAAGCCTCTGCCTCTTCCGCGTCCTCGTCCTCCTCTCCCTCTCCCCCGTGGCACCCCTGCGTCCCCGCCTCCCATCATCCCGAAGCCCGGAGAGTGCTGCAGAGGAAACATGCTCCGTTTAGAGTCAAACTTTAGGAAAAAAAGGGAGCGATGACTATTGATGACACTGAGGCTTGCGGGCAAACTATGCAATGAGCATTCAGCTATTAGACTCCCGATCAGTGAGAAATGTTTTGGACGAGGACGGAGTGGGTCCGTGTGCTCACCATGGGCGGTCCCTTCTTCTTTTTGGCGACCTCGGGCATGGAGCCCTCGGGGAACAGGCGCTCCAGCGCGGCCAGCGCCGCGTAGGCCTTGGCCACCTTCTTGTTGGAGCCCGTGCCCTGGAACTTCTGGCCCTCGATCTCCACCTCCATGACGAAGCGCTTGTCGTGGCTGCCGCCGGTCTCCGAGATGAGCTCGTACTTGAGGCCGCGCCGCTTCTCGTTGAGCTCCATGACGGGGTTCTTGCCGTGCTTGGTCAGGATGGGGCCCTGCTGGCGGACCGCCTGGGGGGGGGGGGCAGAAGACAATCAGGCTGAGGAGACGGGGGCAAACGAGCCAAAAACTGCTGCCGGACGGACGCTTACCTCGGCGGCTTCGGGGCGGTCTGCGTTGGCCGTCGCCGTGGCGGCGTTGGTCGTTTCCGGGGGCGTGGCCACCGGCTTCACTTCCTCCACGGCTGTCACTACCTCGGCCTCCTCCGCTTTTGACCCAGGGTCAGTTTTGGCCTCCACGCCAGTGGGCAGGCCCATGTCCTGTAGCACCTGGAATTCATTTGCTTAATTACAAGAAGGCACTACCAGTCCACAGTACCCATTGAGGTACATTATGGGAGGGAAAACATGAGTAATTCGACACTCGTCATAAGACGATCCCGTAGATGCTCTGCGTACCTTGACGGCTACGTGCAGCTTGGCGGTGCGTTTAGATGGGCCAGAGGCCTCAAACGTCTTGCCGTCCACCTCTACGGCCATAGTGAAGACCGGAACATGGACCGGGCCAGTCTGAGAGATCAGTTTGTACTGGAGACCCGGCTTGAGCTGGTTCAGCCTCATTAGGGCATTCATAGCCTGGGGGGGCTCAGCCTTCTCTTCTGTGGCTGGAGGGAAAGAGTCAAACATTATACTCCAAAAATACACAGAAAAAGGCAAAAGATTCTAATGAATGAATGAATGAATCCTTTTTACATTTCTTCTGCAGCTTTTTTTTCTTTTTATTAGGGCTCTTGTCATCGGTTCCTTCCTCGTCCTCTATGGGCCTTTTCATTGGTGGGGCATATGCTGTGCTTGGTGGGATTTGCACTGATTCACAACACACACAAATCCATCATTAAAACACGCAAAAAAAAAAACCAAACACGAATCAATACTGTCAAAAGGTCTTTTCAAACAACAGGGCCTACCTGTGTAATCAATAGGAGCCTCGCTGCGGGGCTTTTTGGGCATTTTGGAGGGAAGAGGATCCATCCCAAGCACTTTGTGAAGCTGTCCGAAAGCCGACAGCCTTAAGGCATGCTGCGGATTAGAAGACACCCGTAGTGAGTCATCACACTGAACTGTGAGTGCGCGCTAACACCTTCATCATCCTCACTTGTGCGCTGGCTGTGATGTCCTCTCTCTGCTGATGGTCCAAGTGACCTATAGCATCTGTGGCCTCCTTCTCACACGGATCGGATATTCCCGGACCATCTGGAACAACAACAACAGAAATTCTAAACAGGATAGATGGGAATGAAGTGGTCAATTTGCTGCCAGGTGGGGTTGAGCTTTAGCAGCGGGTCTACAAAATCTACAAAATGGAGCTAGGTAAATATTACACAACAGTAAACATGTTCTTTTTTCCTTTTTTTTGTTGTTGTTGTTGAACGTCTACACAAAACCAAAATTCTTGGTCATAATGGCTAGAAGGAGTTTTTGTTTGAGTATCTGTTTAGAAGAGTAGAGTGGCACGTAGAGACCGTTCCTGTTTATTTTTCCCTCGAGAGAAGTCATTCCAAGTTATTCTTGGGTTGAGTTTCAGGTGTTGTGACACATTCCAGAGAGTGGAACTATCTTTACAAGCTACTCCTCCACATAACTAAGAGGTTTAGACTAAAGTAAGTCGTTTCACCCCTTTGTGCCATACGTACCAAAGCTTTGAACAATTGGACTGTAATTTATTTGGGTTGAAGAGATACGCTTTCAGAACAATGCTTGCATAACCATGCCGACTGTGGCCCACCTGCCATGAGGATTCCTGAAGCAAGACACTCCAAAACTCTCCGCAGAGCTTCTCCTGCCCCCATTGGCCGGTTTCCTGTGCCAATGGCCTTCTCGCTGATCAGCTCCAGCGGCTGCACAATGGAGCAGGGGGATAGGTTTAGATTCGGAAAGCACAAGTGTGACAAAACCAAAAGAAATCATGAATTTCTTCTTTATTTTTTTTCTGGAGAGTGCACAGTGCCACTCACCCAGCCGCGGAGCGGGGACCAGGTGGGGACGCGGGCGCACAGGTCCCTCAGAATGCGAATGACTATGACGCAGGAGCGCAGCCCGTTGGCCCTGGCCTGGAAACAACAAGCAGGGGAGTGGGGAGGGGGAAGGTTTTGAGGCAGACGAGCACCTTTTAGTCAAAATAAAAAAGGCGACCGCGTGGAACAAGCAAGACCAACATCCAAAAGCTAAAAGAAATTAATGAAAATGAAACCACACACACTATAAACAGCTTAGCTTTGTCGTTGTGGAAATATCCAACGATACTGATCATTTTGTCAGACAGAGCTTTTTATTTCTATGACCAATCACATTCAGATCCCCGTCAGCGGCCAAAAACGATCAGTGGCATTTTAAATTTTTAAACATTTCAATTTGTGTGTAAAAAGAACGTGTGTCTTAAGGAGTCAAAACAGACTGAGAGAATAAAGTCACGTCAAACCTAAAACCAGCCTTAACCTAGTAAAACAAGCTTCCTTTTTAAAAGAAAAAATGGTGGCGCTTACGTGGACTGTTACTGAAATGAGCTGCGGTTAAGTTAGTGACAGATGGACTTTTTAAAATATGATTCGAGGTGCAATATTCCCGTTGATTTTGGTGACATACTGTTACAAAAGCAGCCAGAGAGCAGGAGAGGCCAAACACACTGTTACAGCGAAAGCCAGAGATGATGTAAGCGACACAATTGTGAGTTGACAACATGGAACATTTTGTCTTATTCTACACGATGGAGTGGTAAAGAGAACTCTACGAGTAGCTTGCATAGATATATACTGACATTGATGAAAAAAACAAAACAACGGTCCATTCACAGCAACAGTGACAGTTTAGAAATATTGCACCTGGACATGGCGTATTAGTCACATATTTCTGTTGATCTGTGTTAAAAGAACTTATGGGTTTAAATGAGAAAACTAAAGGTCTTACAGGCTGAAAGCAATAGGATCTTTCAGAAAAGTGTTACAGCTTCTAGAACCTGCAAAGTGAGCAAAGCGACTGTACAGCGGCGTGATGACAAATGTTTCCTAAGAGACAAACACCCAGGTCGTTGAGTACTACTACAGGAAGAACACCTCGAAAGAGGGAAGGGGGAAAAAAAAAAACACAAGAGGAACTTCCAAATAAAACACGAAAAGAATAAACAGCATAAAACCAAACTCAAAACTATTTCTGTTTTTTTTTTTAGAGACAAATAAAGACAAGGTGCAAACCTGGAACCACTTAGCGTGGCGTAGAGATGCCAAGGCAGTTAGGCATTTCTGCCTGTCCAGAACTTCCGGGGGATCGTTGACTGAAAGCGTTTCTATTGGCAGGTGGAATAAGAAGACAAGGTACAGTTTGACCAAGGGGAGTTCTGTCAGCCGGCCAGGGGGAACACAGGCAGCCTTCCCAAAGCACAGGCTGGAGGGGGAAGGGGAGGGGACCCCTTCACTGGAGAACCACAAAAATGCTCTCAAGCTCCTAGTTATTCCCAGGTTTGCTCGGGTCGCACACAACTATTAAACGCTTAACTCCCACTGGGATGGGTGGAGTTAAGAAGCTGTGAGTTGACTTAATAAATGAAAAAAAAGGAAAAGAAATCTGAATGATCTGACCTAAAATTAACATAAATAATAAGAAGAATAAATAAATAAAAAATTCTGAAGGAATATTGGTTCTTCCAAATAGGAGGTTGTCTCTGCGTGCTTGCTTCAAGTCTAAAAAATATTTTATAAACAGAGCAGTCCACTTTTCTGCTATTTACAGGAAGTAGAGCCCCTCCCCTTTTGCCCCCATTCAGGGTACACTGCACTTTGCCCCTTCCGAGACAGAGAGCGGCCAGTTGGTCAAAGGTCCAGCGTCCCTAAAATTGACAAACTAGAAGGCTTGACAGAGAGAATCAGAATTGGAACCACAGGCAGAAATTATCAGATGCACAAAAGGTGGGTATTAAAACAAGTCCACACTGCAGCAAAACTGATGGCTTAATAACGAGGAAAAAAAAAGAAAACAGCCCAAAATGGGCACCGTGGTTAGCTCAGGGATACAGAAAAGGACAAGGCTCAGGTCCTGCTCATCCTCACTACAGTTAAAAGCTCATACAAAGAAAATAATACACTAGAAATATTATGTTCTTCCTATATTTAGGCTTATGTGGGGGTTGGGGTTGGACACACACGCCAAATGCAAGTGCCCCTTGTCATTATCCGTATCCCTGGGCCTTTTCCAGCTAAGGAACATCGGAGACGGTCAGCAGCCCACTGCTGGGTCTGACCGAAAGACAGTTTCCTTGGGTGTTTTGCTCCTCATTTTTGCTGCAATGCAAACCGTTCATCATCAATGATAAATACACATGCAAACACAGTGGTCTCTCTCTCTTTTTGTCTTCATAGTCTCAGTAAGCCTTCATTTCACTGGTGACCTGATCTTTAAAAGGGGGAAGAGAAAACCATGTCTTCACTGGTCAGCCGACTACCTGCCCTATACTGTATATTGGGCCATCAAAAATGTACAATTACATTACATGGAACTACGAGAGTATCAAGAGAGCTATAAACATAGCAGGGTTTCGTTATGTGACGCTGTGTTCTTTCCCCTAGCTCCATTGAAGGCCCAATAAACAATATCTGTCTAGCCTGGTCGCCTGCCTTGTCTCCTTACTGCAGAGGGGGTGCCACTAAAAAAAGAAAAAAAAAGAAAGAAAGCTTATGTCTTGGTGTGGGAGCTTACCTCCAGAGGCAGCCCGCTCTATCTCCTCACGAACCAGAGGGGACGTCAGGTGGATGGTGAGGGTAAGAGGGGGCTCCTTGGTGTTCTGGATGACGATGCTGGACTCACTGATGTTCTGGGTTACAACGTACTTGTCTTCCGTTATGTTCTGTGAAGGAGACACTGGCTGAGCAACAATTGGTTGACTTCACAATGTTAGCATTTGAGATTAGGCTATTGATGGTTTAAATCTTTAATGGCATATCTACACAATATTAGGCACATAAAATGAGCAATAAAAAGTTGATGAACCGACAGCTTTGGTCAAAATCTACAAAAAAAATTGTAGACTGAACTAAATAATGGCTATCCAGATTGTAGCAGGGTTCTGGTTCAAGGATTTTTTTTTAAATGTATAGCAATCAAGGTCACTGAGTGCAGATCAACTCCCTAAGGTTGCAATGGCAGCATTACAGTCCATTACTGAATATTTTATAGTTGTTCCCTGGTTGTTAAAATAGCCATTCCTCAGGTGAAGGAGTTGGTATTGTATAATGTAACTCAGTGGCCAATCAGAGCCTGGTAGCCTGTAAGGGGCCAGGCTCAGCTCTGATGGAACTCTGGCTGATTGGAAAAGTTCCAGACGTGGGAGAGAGGGCATGATCCCATGAGAAACTAAACTGACAAGCTATTATCAGCGCGAGTAAGGAGCCATCAAAATGTGGGTCCGTTAACACATTCCAAGCCTTTATTTCACACTTCTTATATTTGCATTTATATCAACTTTTTAACATATCTATTATCTCTTAACATACAGTGATGGTGTAAGAAAAGCAAAGAAGAAATCCTGAGCAGGGCCTCTCCCTCTATCACATGTCCAGCTTCTCACCTTGAGCTGCATCATGAGGTTGTCAGAGACTTTCTTCAGCAGACCGGTGGTCGGTTTGTCCTTGCAGAGGAGCACCAGCTCTAAATCAAGGTCTCCTTTCAGCAACAGGCCCTTAGCCACCAGGCCCACCCTCATGACGCCACGCAGGGAACGAGTGGCCTGATCCTTGTGCTCACTTTCAGAACAAACGGTAGATATGACATTAGAAAAGCAGACGTTAGATGTTGTTATTATTATTATCCAACCAAACAGAGCAGCGATCTCACCTCTCTTTATCAGCTTCGGTGCCATCAGGCTCGCCCTTGCCAGTATCCTTCTCCTGTTTATCCAGCCAGTCAGAGACAGCCTTGAGAGCTCGCTCTGTGTGAGACACCATATTCTGTACGCTTTCCAGCTCCTCCTGAGTTGGGTAGATAGCGGAGTGTTTGGCCATGACGTGGCGGTCGTCGTTCATGAATACTCGCATCGCTCTGTGGCGCATCGGAGGGGGCTGGGGGTGGGAAAAAAGAAACAAGGCTGTGAACTAAAAATACAGAAATACACAGCAGGTTCCCAAAGAGGAATCACCAGCACACTTGTTTCATGTAACAGGAATGCAGGATGGAGGGATCGGTACAAATGAGAAGATGGTTTTCCCTCGGACCGACACATTTACATCTCTGAATTACATGAGCCATGAAAACTAAAACAGATTTCTTTGCCATTTATTTAGTGAAGGCCACTCAACTTGTTTGTCCTACAGATACTGAATGTACTGTACCTTTATCAATCACAGAACCCCGTGATTAAATTGGCTTTACTAAACATGCTTATGGATGAGCTCACAAGGCTTCCAGGCCCTAACCCTGACCCAACATGTTCTCGTATAAAGACTACAAGCCCTGCAAATCAACAAAAAAATAGTAGAGGAGTTAAGTTACCATCGTTGAGCCGAAGAAGGAAGCCACTGCGATGTCCAGTGAGTGACGTTGAACGCTCTTCTTGGAAGTGGTGACAATGTTACCGGCCGTTTCTTTGAGAGAAAAACAAGAAAAATGTGTAATTGACAATAGAAATTAAAACCATACCACACAGATAACACCTTATCAATTCTTTGAAATCATTTGGCCAACCATTTTTGCTTAAAACAAGCTCTTTCACGTGAAAGGAAGTGGGCGTTTAAGAACGGTCATATATTGTCTTCCCAAAATACAATGATGGCAAAAAAAACCCAGCTATTGTCCTTTCATAAACACCGCAAGCCACAGGTGAGAAGAAATCATAAAATATAAAGCAATCCATCTCGAACTTTCCTACTATGGAGTTACCATGGCAACAGAGCAAACTTCATTTAGACAAACAACAATAGGGCCACTTTTAACCTTTGGTGGGCCTTCAAAAATACTGACAGCAATGCAAGCACTCACAACGTTGGGCTCACAAACTACCCACTTAAAAGGATTCTCTAAACAAAAAAAGTAGTCCTAATAATCTGTGTCAAATACAAATGCTAACAATTTTCTAAAACTCCAAGTCACCAACTTTTTATCATAATTACTTTTACACTTAAAGAACGTCTACGACCACTTGAAAAGTAACAGCTTGAACAATAAAAACAATGGCATATGATACAGTTCGGGAGAGCCAGGTGCTGCAAATAGAGTAGTTATGTTCTCTGCACACATGCTGTCAGCACTTCTGGGGGCACACCGCCCCCCCTCACTGCTGGGATCACCTGGACCAGGCTGTGCATTCTAAGATGTGGAGAGTGGGATGCGCCATCTGTGGATGACAGATTTCTTTCCCCAGCTACTCCAGGAACAGCGTCCCTCTGCAGGACTTTCCTTTACGCCAGACTGCACCCATGGCCACACAATTTGGGCATTCAAGGCACCAATATTCAGCATTCTCATGTTTTCTGAGCCTCAGCTGTGTAAATTGAAGCTAAAGTTCTGAGCACTTATGCATTGGGTAACAAAGTAAATCTACAAGTTAGTTGTAGTCAAAACCCTATTTAATTGACAAGGCTTCAAGTTTGAATAGTGTTCAACCTGAGTATTTTAGGCCACGTTGTTTACAATGGAAAAATTGATCAAGACAAATTCATAGATATGCAAAAAAGAGCACGCAATTGCATAAAAGAAAGATAATTAAAAGTTTAGAAAATATACTAGATCTTTAAAGTAAAAAAATGCAGAAATGGTTAAGTCAATCAAAATTCGGAGCCCGCGTGAAAAAGTAAATGAGATTCAATAGCATCTCACTACCACGACATAATAAATCACCGAAATGTGGCACCCAGCCAAACACACCTGCAAACAGGTGACCACCGACAGAGCAACCCAGCTATAAACCTCGCAAAAAGATGTACTCGTTCACGATATTATAAGACTGAAAGTTAAAGGACCCAGCTAAACGCTCCGTGGGAAGAATTTAAAAACAGACGCCATTTTAATTCGGCGCAGCGGACGGCAGCTTGCTAACAGCCCCGTAAAGACCGTTACAAGCTCTACCAGTGCGACACCGAACGACAAAACCCAAAGCACACGGTACCTACGGTTTCTGTCAGCCATCCACATACTTTGCAAGAGACCAGCGACTTTTGAATAGTAATTGTGAGCTGGTTATCAGACGCCAAAATGGTAGCCACAGCAAGACCCCATGTATAACCACTATTAGCGTTAGCAAGCTACATTTGGCGAACAAAAGCCAGTAGACAAGGGTCTAAAGCAAACAAAAAGAATGTAAGGCAGAGCTAAAGAGGGTATTTTCAGTCCATTTGATATTTAAAGACCGTCTATAACTAAAATCTAAATGTCAAGGAACAAAGTTAAGAATGGTATTGAGACTTACAGTGATGTTGTTGCCACTTACGGACCGAACTAGCGTGCTGCACGCTAGCCCCAAACCCTGCAGCAAAGTTTAAAGGGGAACGCCCACGACTGGTTCTAATTGGTGGAAACGCACCATATTCCGGTAAGTAGCCAATAGGAAAGTACGGGTGCAACAATGTCCAAAATGTGTGGGGTATGGGAAGATGTCCACTAACGTTTAAGTGTTGCAGAGGAACACCTAAACTAAAAATAATCAAATACAATTTTAATTAAACTGAACTGCAACTTAATACTAAAGATATTAAGATTATTCTTTACAAAAGAATCGTCAAATGTTTAATAGATGTATGACACAAAACCCAGTCACGGCTCACTTTACAAAATAGGAATTGCTCTCCACGAATTCCATCCGCTGATCTTTTATTAAATCAAACGGTCAAGCCAAACCAAAGGTGTTTAGATCAGGCTATTCTCTCCTTCACATAATTAAACGTTATTTACAATTTCTAACATTCAAATGAGAATTTGAAAAAGGTAGATAAACAAACAAACAAGAAAACACATATACTCTATCCATTGTGCACAAGAATGCATACTTGACACTGTCATCATGACCTACATTTTATTGCCAGACAGGTCTTAAAATGCATGAACGCTTACATTATGGAAACATTGTAGCTAAACTGTAAGTAAGTGTTAACTTTGTTGAATGTTTCCTACTGAACCAAAATTGGTTCCAGTGGTCAAACCAAACATTGGAAGAGGACACAGTCACTGTCAGACGCAGCTTATGGTACCAACGGGTGAAATCATTGTTGATTCTCCTTACGGTTGATTTAGATTAGTTTGAACATCGCAACAGGTCCATAGACATCCACACCTTTTTTTTAGGTTCAATAGCAAGACTAGAACAGAGTGCTGTTATTCTCACCACACACACACAGTTTAATAGACAACTCCCCCAAACCCCCCAAAAAAGGAAATTAAATGTTATATACATATAGGTATACACAATAGGAATAATGCACACTGTAAGGTATTTTTAGTAATGACTAAGGAGACTGGTTGTTGGGTTAGATAGACAATGGAATTAATGCATGTGACAGTGATCCCACAGACATTTATCCCCAAAACTAATACCCATCTCATCTCAGTTCTGGTCAAAGTCCAAACTGATACTGATGAGTTTATCTAATTTAACTGATAAGTACAGTACCAAGTAAATGAATATAATGAGTCTCCTTCTATACGTATCTGTAAGTACATTTGATTACAAGTAATGCAGAAGTTTGGGTCATGTGTTTGCCTTTTTGGACCCTTTTCTCGGATTTTGGTTCGTATTTGAGATTCACCCCACAGATTTATCTATTATTCATTATGATATTAATATCAAATTAATATCTTAATATTAAAACTTGTATTCAAAAGTAACTCCTGGTACTTACCAGAAGTACCTGTACTCTTCTAACAGTACTGTGTGCGCCAGTGCTTTTTCGAATTTCTAATTAAAGCAAGAGTCTTAGTCATCTCCATAAGTATGGAATATAGAATGCATTAAATATACAGTCTGTCCTTGAGATTATTATTTTCTTATTTATTTGTTATTGGCTTATTTCCTCTTTTTGCTTCTAGATTTAATTAGCTTTCAATTTCCTGAGTTTTTCTCTGGTTCTGTTTTCTGATTTATTGTAATGTTGCCCCTTAGTTTCCTGCCCCTTCCTTGCACTTCCATGCTGGTTTTCTTCCTTCCTATCATACCCTTCCGTCACGGTCACCAGGTCCCTTCATTTAGTAATCGCTCTGCTCTGCATACTTACATTTCTTGTTTGGTATTGCTTGGTTTCTTTGTTAAGTATTTTTTTTTTCTGGCCCAACTTTTCAGAAATATTTTAAAATTAATTTCTGTTGTCCGTAAGTTCCTTGTTTCAGGAATGCAGTGTCTGCATCTGGATCCCTCTTCCAAAAATTGTGGAAAGGACATTCTTGTGTGTTTAAACTCAAATCGTTAATGGGAAAGCCGCTGATTTCAGTGGAAAGGGTGCTTATATTGCTTCCAGATTCTCTGTGTTCACGTTGTGGTCTGCTTTCTACTGCAGGACAAAGTCATAAGAGATTATTTAATACACAGCACTGCACAGAATGAAATGACCAAATCAAATAACAGTTCTTGCCATGAACCTAAGTAATCCAGGTTACAGAGCTCTGGGTCAAATTCCTTTTTCCATTAAAAAAAACAACAAAAAACTAATTTAAATATCAAATGTGCAAGGCAATGTACTTTTCCCCTATTGGTCCTCGTACCTGAATCCATCTCTGCTGACTTCCATCTCATTCACGCTTTCACTGCCGGAGCACCTGCAAACAGCACAATGTTTCTCCACAAACATCTTCTTTGTTCTCCATTCAGTGGCTTGGCCTTCGTGGTGCCTACTCCCTTCTTCTTATCTCATTCCACATGCCCTGGACCGTTTTCTCACACCATCAGTTGCAAATTCCCACACAAGAAGTAAAAAATATGGTCATTTCACACAGTGATTCCTGTAAACTTAGGAGTTTACCCAAAAAGAATAAAAGATATGGTCTGGATCCCTTCAGTTGTCTCAGGAAGGGCATCTGGTGTAAAAACTCTTGCCAAAATTCGCAATGCGAGTCCATGATGACGAGTTATCGTGAGCCCCGATGGGAAAAATGTAATCAATCTCCACCTGACTCAAATTTTCTTGGGGTTCAAAGATACGTCGCACGTGGGGGAATGCTTGAAGTTTCCATGTTAAGAAAATGTTCGCGTTCCTCTTTTACCTGATTGTATCAGCACCACATTTTGGCACGTTTCCACGTGATACGCTTTTTTTTCTGCAGTGCGTGAAAGACTGTGAAGAAAAGAGAAAAAAAAAAACACGCTACGCTAAAGAAGCTGAAAGTATTAGAATGACCACAGTCAGGATGAAGATGAGTCGTTAACAGGTAACCATTTATTATGTCCTACATTCCATCTTCAGCTTTACTTCAGTCCCCCAGGACACTTGGGGGAAAAATAAAATGCACTGTACATACATTCAAATAGACACAACACAGACAGCCATTCACATTCAGGTCACATTTGGTTTTTCACATCTTCATGCTGAGGTAAAAGCCCAGCCGCCTCTCTTTGCTCAGGTCTGAGCATTAATACAAGTCAAGATTCAGATCACAAAACTAACAACATTGAACACAAAACTTATGAGTTGAGATGCTTTCTTTAAGACTCTGCCAAGTCTTCAATTTAGGAAAAAGTTCATAATTTTGAAGCCCAACACACAAAGTCTTTTATCTACACTGGTGCTGAAACATTTGGAAACCTATAAGAAGACTGTCCACAAATATGAAACATCTGGCCCCTCATAGCAGAAAGAGAAGCTGACTGTGCAAATAAGACAAAAATATTATGCCTGGAAATTCATTCAAAGATGAAAAATGCTCCGATATTGAAAAATTGATTTGGCAACGGGAGCACGAGCCTTTGCTTATAGTTTGCAATGTGAAGCTCTTGGGCTTCCAGATCATTTTAGATATTTTCTTTGGAGGGAGAAGCTTCAGCTCAGGAATGTTAGTGCTGTTTGTCACATAAACTGTCTCTGAAAATTCTACAGAAATCCAAAAGCTTTGACGGATTCCAATAACTTTATATGCCTTTAAACGTTCTTTGCCATCCTTCTACATGGTCTGATGCCTTAACACATTTAAGTCATACTCATCCCTCCTGTCACCTGTAGGGGGACTACTTTAAAGCCTGAAAAATCCATTTACATGACAATTTCAGCTCATGTGTTATCTGTGATTACCTCACACTCTGTCAAGACATCAGGTTGTTCAATCTAAATCTGGTCTAAATCTGGCAGAACACAGAACCAAACCATGTTTCTGCATCATCGTGCTTGAGATTGAGACAAAGTTCATGCATTTATCGTTTTCCTCTTTTTCATCCAAACTGTTCGCAGGCTTACATCAAATATTTCATTATATTTTTCATCAGTGGTGACTCTTTTTAGACATTTTAGACATCCCTGCCATGACTGAACCTCGGAAATTCTCCTGATGCATGAACATGGACACGGACAGTATTCATTGTGCCAGATGCTGGCTCTTGTCTCTTGCACATCCTGCTACACGAGGTATCCTTCAGTTTTATACACGTGTGCACATCTGTCGGAGTCCGGATCGGTCGGATCTACCACAGTTACCAGATGGCTGTGCGGCATTTCAAAACACGATGGACATAAACAAGTCATTCGCTAAGTCTCCAGAAATGCGCTTTGTTCAAACATTGCTTTGTTCAAGCTAGACCGCCACAGCAAACGAGGGTCGGGCTTTCATTAAATACACATTTTTATCTCATTTGCTTGTATCAGAGCAGATCCGAAAGCTTCACAAACGTCCCAGCACCGCCGTATATGTGCTCTCATAGAGGACAGACTGGTGTTGCAGTTCAATGTAAACTATTAGGTGCTTTCGCTGAGTTGGGCGAGTTTTCCTTTTGAATTGGATGCTGTTCTTCACCAGCCAGTGTTTCAGCTCTGGAATGCAGAGATCTGAACCACTCATAACTTCCAACTGGGTCGCCATCATGAAAAGCTCTTGATCTTAATGCCTGACGAGCGTATAACGTTCCCTCAAAAGAAAGGCCAAGTCCCCTTTCGGCCTGCTTTAGATCTTGCTGACGCAGTTTTTCTCCATGCTCAGAGGAGAGTTGGGCTCCAGACGGACGGAGCGGAATATGCTCCCCTTGAGGCTGGCCTGCTTTTTGGTGATGCGGTAGATTTTTCGGAGGATGGCGCGCCGTAGCAGGATGTAGACCCAAGGGTCCAGGATCTGGTTCCAGGTTGCCATTCTGACTCCGGTCACCATCAGCTCGCTGTAGGTGTTTTCGTCCGGGTGTAGAGAGTCAGCGTAGGAGCGTGTTGCTGAGATCAGTCCAAACACCTGGCACACAAAAATAAAGACAATGAATATCATGAGTTCGGTGTGTACGATTAACCTGATATTTTTTTCACATCAACCTAAAATGTGGAAGATGTGTGGAATGATACACTTGTGGAACAAGTTGGGATAAAGGGGAGAGGAACACACATGGAAAATCTGATTCTGGCAGGCATTCTTTTTCCAGCCTCAAAGAAAATGAAAAAAAAATCTTGTGATACATCTGTTAGGCAGCTGCTGAAAGCCAGAAATGCAATAAACTCTCCCCCGTGTTAATGTTGTAGAATACCATGAATAAACAATCTTAAAGGGGACCCTAAAAAGGAGCTGTGTGTTTTTTTAATGAAATAAAATTTGAAAAATGTGTATACCAATCAAACGAGAGATGGGTCTGGTGGAATTGTCCAATGGTTAAAGACCATCACAGCTTCCTATCCATTTTATTATCACTGTAGATAAGCCTTTTGGGATGACAGGCCCCACTAAAGCAAGGGTCAGACCTGTTAAAGAACATTCTGTTTCAGTAGAGACAGACTTTTAGGAACCGCCTTGCTATTGACATAATTTCATTGTATGAAAGCCACTTCCTTCTAATCATATATGTACAGATTTACATTTAGCAAATTACCAATAAAAGCATTAGAAGATCTTAGAGGGAGAGATATAGGTGAATTGAACAGTTTGAGAAAATCTGTTAGTAGTTTATTTCAGATTGAACATTTTTAAAAGGTCTGATCTCAAAATGTAAATTAGGCTGCTTTTTGAGATGTAATTATTTCCATTCGTTTTTAAGAGCAGAGGCTTAGGCCAGTATATAAAAGACATTAATTTTTACATATCAGAGAGGTTATGAGTACTTCAAGAATAACAGTGAGGTAGATGAAAAACGTAAAGTTTTATTTATGCTTCTTATAAACAAGTCAGTCAAGCAGAAGTCAGCAATGAAACTTTTCAAATTTTACTGTAGTTAAGTAAGTCTTTGGGTTTAGATATGTGAATAAAGGATTGTCTCATGGAATGGCGCTTCATTTGCAGGCAAAATGGCCTGAAAGTGCCAAAGTTTGAACTATAATAAGATGGATTTTGAGGTGCAAGGCAGTGGGGTGCTCAGCACTGTTGCCTCACAGGTTCAAAAAGGTTCCTCGTTCAAATTCCTGGAGGACTGGGAGCCTGTGTGTGGGCTTGCCTGTTCTCTCCAGAAACTTTCTTTCTCCCACAGGCCAAAAAAAATGCATTTTAGGTTATTTGATTATTGTAATTTGCATGTAGAAATGGATGGGTGTGTGTGGTTGTTCGGCTCTGTGTTGGAACGGTCATCAATCCAGGGTGTAAATTTCCTTTTGTCCAACGACAGCTAAGGCTAGCCCCCACAGATGGATGGATTTTGATTGCCTTTCGACCATCAAAGGACATTTCTTGAAATTATGCCTCCATTTCCCAAAACTGTGGATGTAAATCTATAACCATACATTTCGTTCCAAAACCTCTAACATTTATATTGCTGCCAAACTCTCTGCTCCAAGCTAAAAATGACATAACTGAAGAGCGCTCAAAAATCCCACAACACAACATAGTTTGACATACAATCTGTAAACCTGCAGTTGATAATTTTGCTAATATTTACGCAACGTAAATGAAAAAAATTCAATTAACTTCAAAGCTAATTGGCTTATGAACAACAATTAAATGTGGAACATTAAATCATAATGTGATGTTTCCCCCCCTTGGCTTTTCTTTTATCTCCCCTCCTCCTTTTCCTCTGCCTATTTCTACATAGTTTGTTCCAGAGTAAAGTTTTATTTATCTTGTAAGTATCCTCATTATTGAGGGACGCATTTAAACTCTTCAGAATTGCACAAGGATAATTATCATGCAATCTGGGTTCAAGCTTTGCTGATCTGAGTCAAACTTCCACTGCTTTGGAAATGAGTACCCAGTTAAGTAATGATGTTTAGAGGGATTTTTGTTTACATTCTAGCAGACAAACACTTCCACTGATCTATTAGTTTCAGCTTATACTTAATTATGATATTTGCAAAAGCTGTCGTCTGTTTATTCTAGTTTCTGATCTGATAGGTTTTTTCCACAAACTCACCAGCAGAGGGCTCCAGCAGATGCAGGAGGTGACCATAATGCCGACCAGCTGGACCACCATTTCCGTGTCGTGGGACCTTGCCGAGAAGCACTGGGAGCTGGACTTGTTCTTCAGCCGCGCCGCAACAAGTGTGATCCCACTGATGGTGTTGCACACAAAGGCCAGCGCCAGCGAGCTCAGAGCCAATCCGGAGAAGAGTATCGCAAAGGCCAAGTCTGTGGCTTTGGAGACCTCCATGACTTTGATGAAGCACCAGGTCCCCGGGTACTGCCGGGTGTACTCGCCCAGCTGAAAGCAGGGCAGGAGGGCCACGCACAGAGCCAGGAACCAGATCATGCTCAGGGCTATTTTGGTCCGAGCCGTGGTCACCAGACGAGCGTGCAGCAGCGGTTTGGTGACCCCCAGGCAGCGTTCGGCGGCCATGGCGCATCCCAGGAAGAGCGGGCACAGCCCGAAAAACACCATGCAGCCTCCCAGAAACTGACACAGGGCCTCTTGATTGGTGGGGTCCTCCAGATCGCCGGAGGTGAGGTTGCTCCTGGACCCGGCGCTGGTCGAGTACCTCCTCATGACCAGAGCTCCGAGGACCACGTGTCCGGTCAGGTCGGTGGCCACCAGGGAGCTGGCGAAGAGCAGGAAAGTGGCCTTGGAGCGTTTGCGGAAGCGGTTGTAGGCTTTGACGAGGATGACGAGGGCCACCACGTTGAAGAGGATGCCCAGGGTCATGTTGAGGCCCACGGCCGTGGGGTTCCGCTGAGCGGTGGCGTTACACGCCGCCGCCGCCGCGTCCACCAGTTCGGGACGCCGCTCCATGTCGGTGCGGTTAGCAGGGGCGCCGGCGCCGGAGGAGTTGAGGGGCGCCACGGCCGACATGACAGCTGAGATCCGGGGCTGACGCGGTTCCTGTGGCCGAGAAGGTGCTGGGAGGGCGAGGAGAACCAGATTAGGGACTATCAAAATGACCATTGCTTGAGTACAATGAAAGAAGAAAGCCACACTTTTCAAATAGTGTGCATCATGCATATCTCAGGAATAGGAACAACCACTGGACTGTAGTGAACACAGAAAAAGCTGATTTTAAAGCTGATTAATGGAGAAAACAGCTCAGTGAATACTCAAATTCAGATTAAATGGAAAATAATTATGTTATTTCAAGAAAATAGATAACATTTTTAAGTAAGTATCAAAATTGCTGATGACTCAACTTGCTGGGCTTAAATACAATACACCTTCAGAGAGAAAAATTCATCAAGACATGACCTCACCCTCTCTCTCCCCTCCCTACCCTCCATAAAAATCAGACTGCCCTCCCTGTTTGTAAAAGAAATTGGAATTAACCTTTCATTTTCACCACCTTTCCCGACATGTTCCCTCATGCAGGCTTAAAACGTGTTCTTACCTCCCCCAAGGGGTAAAATATGCTACCAAAGGTTAAATACAGTCTTTTCCCTTTGTTAGCACACATTTTCTGAAAGCTCTCTGTGAGGTTTTCAAGCGAGGAGCCTCTGTTCTCTCTGTGTATTTGTGAACGGGCGGGGGAAGTCAGAACAAGTCCCAACAGTTGCTTTTAAGCACACATTCTTTTCAAAGTGCCGGGGGTAGCGCAGCTGCCGCCAGGTAACTGACAGCAATTTAAACCCGATCAAAACAATGTCTTCATGCACAGAAGTGGATGACATGTGCACCCACCCACTGGAAATTAATCTTAATCAGAACTGAAAGCCTGAAATTGGAAAAGTGGATGTTTTTTCTTCACACATTTGTCTACATTTTCCATATCTCTACATTCAGTTTTTTCCTCTGTAATCTTACATAACCAATTCTTTATCATTTGAAACTTTAGTTTGAATACAGTTGAAATATTACCTGATTTTTGACACATGAATCATAAATTGTAAACACCCTTATAAAACTCCTGTGATTGAACCGTCTGTTTTTAAATCCTTTCAGCACATCAAAACCACTTTCTTGGCACCGGTCAATTTCAGCCGAAAAGCTTCACGGGATGAGAAGTCAAAGTTTTCCTACGCACCTTTGATTTGACAAATCCATGGGAGATGATCATATGCTTTGGCTTGGAGAGTCAGTCATAATAGGCGCGCCCTCTGATGAGAAAGGAGCTCCTCTTTTTGTGTGGCTCCAAAGGTGAGAAAAAACGCTTCACCTGAGATGTTTTCTTGTCGTGCAGCTGCAGAGCAACTCCTCCCTCAGAACCAGGCAGCCTCCCCAGTGCAGCACAAGCGTGTTCTCTGTTTCCACAGAGGCTGGGTGGGTTTTATAGTCAGAGCCTGCACCGAGCTCCTCTCGCCTCTGGGTGTCTCAGTCACTGGAAAGCGGATACTGCCTCCAGGCAGACATTCCCAGGAGTACGAGGAGTGAAAGGACCTCAAAGAGACACCCCGGGGGGAGGGAAATCGATGTCCAAAACGTGGCTGCTTCCGGCTCCCTCCTCACCTTCAATTGTGGGATATGGAGGTAAAGATGATGTGCAGCTTTGAAAATCAAAAGTTAAGCAGTTGACCCGGGTTGGCTTCATTCGTTTAGAATTGAGTTTAGCTATATGAATGTGTCCAAATAATGATTTCAGCTTAGTCACCACAATAAATAGCTTATTTTTCTTTGCAAAAAAAATGGTTCAAATTGTGGCGGCTGTATTTTTAACGACCGGATTCTGGACGATCAGTTCTCTGGAAAAATGTAGGCAAGTTTGCACAAGAAGGAAAGCTATTACATTGCAGATTCTATCTCCAACCCTAAACCCCTTGTTAGAATAAAATCATTAAATTTTTTATGTTGTAGGAGATGTGTGCTAAATTTTATGAAACTGGACAAAGCAATCCTGACTTTTTGTGGTGGGAAAACAATAAAAATATCATGGGGAGGTTCTTTTTTTCCCCCCAGCAAATATATTGTGTTTGTACGGGTCCTAAATTCTGGATCAGGATCTTTTTTTTTTTCATTCAGCTTCATCATCAGACTCTGGAGTCACATCTCAGTTAAAGTCTAACTCTCACAATCAAATCTTAAAGATAGATGTCCCCCAGAAATGCAAACATCCCATTGTTAATGCTGATTTCTTGTTAATTCCACCACGCAACACATCTCATATAAACTATTTCCCATGAGCTTTGACCATGTTCAGGCAAAGATAATGAACTCTAATCAGGGAACAATGAACCTAACAGAGAGAAATGAAAAGAAACCCCAATGGCACTAATGCCACACTGTGCAGGAGTACACTTAGTTAGAATCTTTCCACAGTTTATATTAGCTTTTGATAGCAGTAGTTTCACAAATAAACATTTATGGCTATAATGTTTTCTTTACCCCCTACATCTATTTTGTTTCCAATGTAAAAAAACTCATATTGTTCAATTCAATGCAAGGGACTCACTATGTTTAAACTCGATCGAAAACAGGTAGTTGCATTACTTATCAGTGCTTTTCAATATCTCAGATCTCAGCTCAAATGAGGCTCCTCTGAGCAGCCTCTGGAGCCTTGTGGGTGGTTTTTCCTTCAGCGTGAACCATCTGTAGTCTCAGCACTCCAAACACCTCTGTCACACCCTGCAGCTGCGATTGCATAAGCTCCTCCAGTTCTCCGAAAAACCGGCCGGGCCGCCGGGATCCAACCCTCCAGGCCTCACTTCAGTCGGGCTGAAGGATTCGAATGATTTACAGGATAAATCTGGAGGTTCTGCTTCGACTATCAGCCCTATATCGTGCACAATCCCTCCCCACCCCCTTACGCTGAAAGGAGGCTGAGATTACAAGTCATTTAATGTCAAAACAGGCCGAGTATCTGCAGGGAAACGATAATGCAAACATACACAATCTGGCTCTTTGTTCAAACACATACCACAGATGTGCGGTGCAGAAGACCATGGAGCGGTATGTGCATGTATGTCAGTGCGTTTCAATAAAACCTGCAAGAGCACAAAACAATCTTTTAGGCTTATCGGTGCATTGCTTTTGACTGGTTGAATATAAGACCTGTGCAGACAGGTAAGGCTAGCTTGGCGCTAACGCAGTCTCCAGAGTGGGACAGCTTGGTTTTCGCGAAATGGGTTTGGGAGGAGACTGGGTAATGGAGGGCGATCTGCTGATAACGCCGTCCATTAAGGATCAGGAGGCAGGAAGTCGGTGTGCAAAACAAAAATCTCTGAGGAAAGGGTGCTGCCAGTTGCAAAAAGAGTCACACGTGAGAAATAGTGGATCGCCTGAGGATGTTTGTGCGAGCTGATACATAGTATCAATGACTCCTCTTGTTTTTTGCCCCTTTTTGGCATCATTCTTAGATATCCAAAATACACTGGAACCCCAGTGGTGTTATTTTTCTGGTTTAAATCATCCTGTGATCTGTTCCGTATTCAGTTAAAAAAGAGGAGCGTTTGGTTACTTTTTCAAATATTTTGCCCCTCATATTCTTGACACAAATAGCCTACTTCCTTATTACTCTTTATTCGGATTTGAAAAAGCACATTCTTAGTTACTGATTTAGAATTTGGTGATTTGTAGTACTTAATAGGGTGAAGTGATGCTCAGCACCATCGCCTCACAGCAAGAAGGTTCTGGGTTCAAGTTCCCGGGGGAACCGGACCTTTCTGTGTGGAGTTTGCATGTTCTCCCTGTGTCTGTGGGTTCTCTCCGGGTTCTCCGGCTTCCTCCCGGGATCCAAAAACCTGCATGTTAGGCTGATTGGACATTCCAAATTGCCCTTAGGAGTGAGTGTATGTGGTTGTTGGTCCTTGTGTGTCTCTGTGTGATAGGGTGATGGACTGGCAGACCGTCCAGGGTGTAACCTGCCTTTCGCCAATTGACCACTGGGATAGGCTCCAGTCCCCGGGTGACCCCATTAGGGAATAAGTGGTTACGATAATGGATGGATAGTACTTTATAGCAACACCAACACAGAGCTGTTGTCATAAGCAGCCACTGCATTTGGCTAGTGCTGCTAACATTTCTCATAATGATATGATCAGAATCATTCAATATATCATATATATTAGAACATATAATCATTCACTTCTGCAGCATTCTTCTTTACACCATGTGGAAGATGACTTCCTCCATTCATGTACTTTTTATTGAACCTACATTAATCTAAAACAAACCCAGTCTCACAGCAAAAAACTGATTGCAAAGAGCCTGGTCACCTGGTTTTCATTGTCTTTGTGTTACCAAACATGTTTTGATTAGTTTTTAGCATTTATGGATTACAGCAGGGGTGTCAAACTCCAGCCCTCAAGGGCCGCTGTTCTGCAGGTTTTAGAGGACTGGAGTTTTACAGCCCTGGATTAGAGGAAGTTAATGAAAAAAACATAAAAATGAAAAAGAAAAAAAAGAAAACCTTTGACTCAAATTATAGTAAAATTTAACCATCACAAAGGAGGACTTGGCTCTTTAAAAAGGAGAATTGCTACATGTTTTTGAGGATTGGAATCATCTTGTATAAATATATTTGACACATATATATTTAAATGATGTTATTTGCTGGCTGTCAGTTTGCGTTTCCTGATACTCTTTGTTAACAAAAATATTCACAAAATCTTTTTGGGATTTTCTTCTTATGGATGTCCACTACATTTGTGCTTGTTCTTTGTTAAGTTTTGTTTAAGACAACGGTATCCTCCATTGAATTACGACTATCACCAACACACCACAAATCCAGCAGTTATTTTGCCTCAAACCAATCTGAATAGCTTTTCTTTTTGTCTTTTGAATGCACATGCTATCATTCATAAAGATAATAGCCATTATATTGCACCTGCTGTAATAGTTTTATTTAATGTAAAGCACTCTGAATTATTTTGTACATTAAATGTTCTGCAAAAATAAATTTGACTTGACTTGACATATATCAAATACGATGTTTCCTGAATATTTACTGTATGTCTCTAATTATGCCCTACAGTCCAAAAAGTCCCACTATCCTGACCTATACCTAAGCAGTCCTGAAAATATCTGTTTTTTACTATATTTTATGATCTTAATTTGCTGCAGTCTTCCTTTAATCCTGAAATCATGGGACTGTTTTACTTAAATTTATCACATTCCACATCTAAAGGACACGAGGCAATAAAATAGAGATGAAATAGGTTACCACGGGGGCTGCTACTTTGAGAGAAAATCTCTCAAAGGTCTCCCCCTGGGACCTGGGGAGTCCAAACATATAGAATATTTAAGATAGGTCCAAAAGCAACAACCCTTTCCTGCATTAGGCCTTCGAGACCCATAAGAAACAACCAAGACGTCTCAGGATGAAATCTGGACATCTTTTGGTAACCCAGACGAAAACATTTTACAGATGTTTCCATGAAGTCCAACGGATTTTGGGAGGATTTGCCAGCACAAACTGGATAATATTAACAATTTAGGTGTTCCAGTTTCAGAAAGACATATCCCTTTAACCTTCTAAAAGCCAAATCCAAGAAGAAATATAGAGAAAAATCTTTTTCCGTTTTTGTTGGAAGTCTTTATTTAGCGCTTTAACAAAATATGTAAAAAATATAAACAGAGGCATTTTTGGAATATTCATCATTGAGTCTGAATTCTTGTGGCTAGTCTTCTCCCTGCATTTATAAGATATATCTGATTATGTAAAACAGGGTTTTGAGCAAAGTGTCAAAATGTCTCAGTTTCAAAACATTTCAGAAACCGTATGTATAAAAAATGATGAACACAGCATTATAGGGTTAATTAGTAAGTCTATGGTCAAGAGTGCTTATAAAGGAACAGACATAAGAAAAAGGAATGGCGGCATTATGCTATTTAACAATTCCATCTTTCTATAGTTTAAGTTGACAACAACAATATCTCTCAAGTTGAGGAATTTTGGGTCATGGCTATGATTCTTTTTCCATTCCTCAAGCAGAAAAAAATTAAATTCAAGAGAGGGACAAAGTGTTTCTTTCTCTTTCCAAAGCATACCAGAGATGTTTAATTATGATAAAATGTGAAGGGCCGGTCCCCGTTTTCCACACCAGGGCTGAAGTCTTTATTTTTGACTGTGTGACTGAGGGCATTGCCATTGTGGAAGCTAAGGCCGCCTTTGGGAATATCTGGTAATCCAAAATGGACCTTATTGTGGTGTTATAGGACCCAGATAATTGCATGATCTATTGTACACTAAAGGCATAAGAGATTAAGGGATTTTCCTTTGGCACCATCTACAAATAAGTTCATCTTGAACAAAGAGAGAAAGTGGACAGCATTTAATCTTTGTTGTCAGAACAAAATTAAATACTTCTATTGATTCATTCTCCGCTTATTGTGGTCTTTCAATCAATGTATGGGTTATTCAAAACTAAAGAGGGAAGGAATGGCTTTGGTGGCCACAATAAGAACTCGTTTG